CAACCACCAAAAGTTACGAGGGAGGCATGGCAGAGTTTCTCCCGCTGAGCTTTTAGAAGGAATCTACCTGCTGACATCTTTATTTCAGACTTCTGGACTCTTGAACTGTGAGAGAATACATTTCCACCTTTTAAGCTACCCAATTTGTGGTCATTTGTTATGGCAGCACTGGGAAATTAATATAGTAGTTGGGTCTCCTTAGACTGCTCTGATAATTTCTCACAGTTGCCTTAGTTTTGATGACCTGAACAGTTTCAAGGAGTACTGCTAGGGTATTTTACAGAATGTTCCTCAACTGGGATTTTTCTGATGTTTTTCTCATGTTTAGATTGGAATTATGTGTTCTTGGAGGAAGACCACGGAGATAAAGGACTGTTTTTATCATATCAAGGGTGTACTTGGATATTATCAACATGACATCACTGCTAATATTAACCTGATCACCTAACTGAGGTCAGATTTCTTCGGTGTAAAGTTGCTTTTTCCCTTTTTACACACTAGTTTTTGGAAGGAAGTCACTCTGCATAGACCACATTTAGGGAGTGGGGGTGCACCACCATTTTAAAATGTAATTGTCTTAAGTGTGTCCTCTACATACAATGAGCAATATATCAGATGATATAATTTTTGCCTCTCTCACCAAATGTGATTTTAAAAATGCATGAGAAGTAGGATAGTTTATAGCCCTCTTTGTACCCGCTCTGATGTTCTCCTTTCCTTTCTGATGTTCTAAGCCTTGTTATAATTTCCTTTCTGTTTAAAGAACTTTCTTCAGCCATCCTTTATGGGTCAATTTGTTAGCAACAAATCTCTTAGTTTTCCTTCATCTGAGAATGTCTTTATATCTCCCTCATTTCCAGAAGGACATTTTTGCTGAATATAGAATTCACAGTTGACAGGTCTCACTCTGTATTTCCTCTCCTTTTGGGATTCTGTATGACATGTAGCTCACTTGTTAGACTCCCATAGGTCCTTGAGGCTATGTTCATTTTTTTTCTGGTTTATTTCCTCTCTGTTGTTCATAATCGATAAACTATTGATATGTCCTCAAGTTTGCTAATTCTATCCTCTATTATCTTCACCCTACTACTGAACAAGTTTTTTCACCCATTCAGCAAGTTTTTTACTTCAGTTTTTGCATTTTTCAGTTCTGTAAATTTCCATTTGTTGTATTTTTAAATAACATCTATTTCTTTGCTGATATTTTCTACTTTTTCATTTGTTTCAGAATTCATAACTGCTTGTGGAAGTACTTTTTGTGACATTTGCTATAACATTCTTGTCAGAAAATTCTAGAATTTGATTTAGTTTAGTGTTGACATTGTGGTTTCTTTTTTCTCATTCATGTTGTGGTTTTGTCTTAATGAGTGACTTTGGGTTGTATTGTGAACATTTTGGATATGACACGATGAGACTCTGGGGCTTATTTAATCTTCATTTTTTGGCATGTAGTCTTCCTGTTGAGGTTTAGCACAAGGTCTGGGTGGGCATGTATGTTCAGCTTCTTGCTGGGCCCCATTGAAAGCAGGACAGCAACTGGCTCTGCCTCATTGCCTCCAATTGGGAGTGTGAGATCAGCTCCCTGCTGGGCTCTGCTGCCACCAGGGTGGTGGAAAACAGAAGCTAACACTGCCTTGTTGCTGCAGGCTGAGGGTGTGAAGCTCAGCTCCTCACTGGGCCCCACTGACACCAGAAAAGAGGAGGGGAGGGAACAGAGTGTCAACTGTTCCCACATCTTACCCCTTTCCACCAGGTGTCAGGTGGAGGCTCAGCTCCCCACTGGGGCTGACTGATACTAGTAAGGGCAACAGGTAAGCTCTGCTTTGGCCTGCCTTGTTCAGTTTTGCTCATATGGTCGGGGGAAGAGGCTCAGCTCCCTCAGGGCCTTACTGACACTTGTGCTAAATGGCCTGCCTTGCACTGCCTCACTGCTACTGTGTTTCATTGCTGCTGGGTGAAGGGGAAAGCTTAGCTCACTGCAGGACCCTGCAGACACGACCCTGGCTTGGAATCAGACCACCCACCTGGTTGTGTTAGGTGGCACGTGGTGGATGGCAGATCCACTCCCTGCTTGGATCCACTGAAACCATGGGGCGGTGGCGCGTTTTTTCTGTTGGTGTTTGGCTGGAGTAGGGCAGATATTGCCAGAAAGGTTTTCTGTGGTTAGGCCACCCCTTTACCTAATCCTTTGGCTAGGCTTTCCTTAGGGCTCTTTTTCATCTGTGCCTATTGTCAGTTGCAGGTTGGAAGTTTCCACAGTGTTCTGTCTGGGATGCATGGGAGGTGATAAGGAAACTCCCAGAACTCACCACCGTGTCATTTCTCAAGGCCTCGTCTTTCCACCTTTCAGAGTCTTTCTCTGCTTTTTGTTGTGTTACTGTCCAGGGTTTACTAGTTGTAAGGGAGAGTACCTGAAAGGAATGGGTCTTCTCCCTCCTGTTTTAACTTAAAACACATGGGGGTCTGAGTAGGCAGTCAGAAATAAGCCTCTAGTGAAAGACGCAAAATCAGGGCCAGTTTACAACACTTAAACTGAAATAGGCCATAGTTCTAACAAGTAAAGAGAACGGATAGGGCACAATTTTTTTTAAATTATTATTTTAAAAGTTTTTTATTTCCATAGGTTTTTTGGGAACAGGTATTTGGTTACAAGAGTAAATTATGTAGTGGTAATTTCTGAGATTTTGGTGTGCGTATCTCCCAAGCAGTATACAATGAACCCAATTTGTAGTCTTTTATTCCTCACCCTCTTCCCCCTGAGTCCCCAAAGTCCACTATGTCATTCTTATGCCTTACATTCTCATAGCTTAGCTCCCACTTAGAAGCGAGAACATATGATGTTTGGTTTTCCATTCCTGAGTTACTAAGATTTTTCAAAGAAGTTGTTATAAAAGATTTGAGTCTATCAGGAGTCATTGGTTCTAATTTATTTTTATTAGAAACATTTTCTTTCTACAAAAGGTCTACTTGAGAGTACAAAGTCAGCTTTGTATTATCTGTAACTAGAAGTCTATTGGATACCCAAATCCCTTGAATGGTATTTCAAGCCTCTGTATGACTGCCTACGTGGAGGTGTCCAGGCCAATAGCAAAGAGGAATACATGTTTGGGGCTCCTGTTGACCTCTGTCTACTCTTCTTTTTCTTTTTTTAACCCATTTCCCATTTAGGAAGGAAAGTGCAGCTTGCTCTCAGTGCCGTATTGTTGGGGCAAGTGGGAAACGGGTTAACGTGTGTGTATATATTATACATAAAATGCACAAGTCAGAAGTACACAACTTGATGAATTTTCACAAAGTGAACACATCATATAATCTAATACCAAAAAAAAAAAAAACTTCCAAGGCCATCAGCATGCCTTTCCGGTCGCTATGCCTTCCTCCACCCCCTACCTTCCACTACCCCCTTTAGTGGTAATTTCTGAGATTTTGGTGCACCCATCTCCTGAGTTTTTCTCCTGATGGTAGAAAATCCTGACCTCACACCATAGATGACTTTTACTGGCTACTTGTTTTTCTTTTAATTTAAATTTTATTGAGATAATTGTAGATTCACATGTAGTTGTAAGACATAATACAGAGAGATTCTTTGTATTCTGCCATTTTCCCCAATGGTAGCAATTCACACAACTACAGCATAATGTCACAATCAGGATACTGATATTAATACAATATACCTTTCTTATTCAGATTTCCCCATTTTACTTGTACTCATTTGTGTGTGTGTATTAATTGCAATAGAATTTTATAGAGGGTCAGTTATCCATCACCACAGTCAAGATCCCAACACCACAAGTTCCAACACCATAAGGGTCCTTCATGTTGGCCTTTAGTGACCAAAACCATCTCCCTTCCAAATCAACCCTCCCAACCTCTGGCAACTAATCTATCCTCCAACAATAAAATTTAATTTCAGAAATGTTATACAAATGGAATTGTGCAATATGTTAACTTTTTCAATTGGCTTTTTGCTCAACAAGGCTACTTCTTTTCAACATGACTGGAATGCTTTCATTTTAAGGCCCATCCATCAGTCTTACTAGAGACAGCAAATCATACATGCTCTACAATGGATAAACGAGTACTTCTCATCCTTTATAAACCAGAAGACAAATGTTTATTCTTTAGTAAGCATGTCCAGACAAAAATTATCATGATCTGTGCCCCTTCAAGGTGACCATGGCAGATTTGCAAAAAGAATTTTTGTAAGTATCATCCTGATTCTAAGAATTATTAGTAGTATGTTTTAAGGAAAGTAACAGCTATGGTATCCACTTAACTACATAATCTCTATCTGATACAGGCATGTTAAAGCCAATGCAAGCCTAGGAAAATGTTATTCTTGAAGGACTATCAAGATATCCACAAAACTAACTTGCTATATTTTCATTCAAATAAAAGGTAAAACTTGGGCAGGCGCAGTGGCTCATGCCTCTAATCCCAGCACTTTGGGAGGCCAAGGTGGGCGGATCACCTGAGGTCAGGAGTTTGAGACTAGGCTGGCCAACATGGTGAGACCCCATCTCTACTAATAAAGTACAAAAATATTAGCCAGGCATGTGGTGCGTGCCTGTAATCCCAGCTACTTGGGAGGCTGAGGGAGGAGAATCACTTGAACCCAGGAGGTGCAGGTTGCAGTGAGCCAAGATTGTGCAACTGCACTCTAGCCTGGGCAAAAAGAGCAAAACTCCATCTCAATAAATAAATAAATAAAACAAAATAAAATAAAAGGTAAAACTCACTGAATAAATGAAGCTACCAAGATAGACAATACCTATTAAGAATCCCATTTCTAGAAATTCCTTTGAAAAACAACTTTTGTTGTTAGCAATCATATATCTAACTTCATTCATTCTCTTTTCATTCTAGTAATCCACTGGTAAACTCCCTAAAGTAACAGGTTCTATATTTTACAAAAGGTCAAATTTGTAAATGCCTAGAAAGTTATTCGTCTGGTAAACGTTTTCCTTCTTGTGCAGAGACCTTCATTCACATTGACTCACCTGTTTTCATATTGAAATTTTGCCAATATGTCTTTGGCTTTGGTTTGACTGTTGAGTTGAATGGCCATGGACACCTTGGAGAGAAGTGGAGCATGGACCCGTATGACTCCTTCCGGCACGTCAGACTGCCAAGGAGGAGAAATTCAGTACATTCTGTCAAACTAGGGTGAATATCAGCTCAATGATGCACTTAAGAGCTATGAAAATCAGTGCTACTCTGAATTGGGAAAACACGTCACTATGATCAACATTAACCAGAATGGAACACTACTTTCCTTCTCAGCTGGAGGCTCACTCATGACTAAGCTTAACCTGGGATTTTACTTTCACTGTACATGGGCAGGTCTTGCTATAATGACTTAAAATCATGAGGGGGAAAAACTGGGTTATGACAAAGATCAAATGTTTCTATTCATGCATTTCTTGGACAAACTCCTAACTGACCCTGCTTTAAGCAGAATTCTGTACTTCAATATATTTTAAGAAGACCAACCTTTTGAAAATGTTAAGAGTCAATTAGAAAATATGGCTTCTCCAATACCCTTTCTTTAGTTAGCAGCCATGAGTGGCTGGCCCGAATTCAATTCCACAGGGGCACTTGAAACGGGACCCCTCAAAGTGCACTGAAAACACTGCAGAGCAGGGTAAGTGGCTGTGGGAAAGATGGTGTCTCTTAATTGTTTTAAATCTGTACCTTCTCAAAGGATAGTGCTGTTGATGTAGATGATTTATATAAATGGACTCCTTAGAGTCACATTCTATCAATATTCTATTGATACCCTAGAAAAAATATGTTATGGGCTGAACTGTGTCTCCCCAAAAGACAAATTGAAGCCCTAACCCGTCAGTACCTCGAAACGTGACCTTATTTGGAAATACGTCATTGCAGATGTAATTAGTTAAGATGAGGTCATTACATAAGAGGTCTAAACTGCAGTAGCGTGTGCCCTTAACCCAAGTGACTTGCATCCTTATAAGAAGAGACACAAGAAAGAACGCCATGTGAAGATGGAGGCTGAGACCAGCTGAGGAATGCCGAGGATTACTGGCATCGCCAAAAGCAAAAGAGGGGCAAGAAGCAGGTGCTTCTCTCACAGACTTCAGAAGGCGCCAAGCTTGCTGACACCCTGATTTTGGACTTTCAGCCTCAAGAACTGTGAAAGAATCATAAATGTCTATTGTTTTATGCCACCTCATTTGTGGTACCTTGTTAGGGCAGCCCTAAGGAACTAACACAAAATATTTTAGAACAGAGTCAGTTCTTACAGTATTCTCCTAACATTACCAGCAAGAACCATGAAAGCAGGAGTTCAGGAAAAGATAATGAGGGATTTGCATCTGGATGGGGGCCAAGTCCCAGGCTCATTGCAGCCAAGACTGTGCTCCTAAAGTACGCCTTTAATTGTCTATGTCCTATTTCATCAGCTCTGCAGACGCCTCTCCCTATACAATAGATTGCACACTCTGACACTACTGACCGATGACCGTAATAATCTCGTTCCTTCTATAACTTTCCACAACATTGTAGCTGTGTATAGGAGGCCCAGGCACACATTCTGAATCATCAGCCAGTCAGGTCCCTCTACCATTCCTTTATGTGCCACATTGAAAATGTCAAGTTTGAAGGATAGTTCATGACAAACATTATACATAAATGTGGTGGATGTTGCCAGAGAAGACTATATAGGGAGTTAATGGAAGGGAAAGGAAATTATTTTTCTTACCATTCTTCTTGCCGAGGGTGATTTTTGCAGTACCTTTGAAGTCTTGGGGCTTGCAGTCTAAAGGAAACACAGTCTTTAGGAGTAATGTTGGAGTAATGTTGAGAAAACAAGCATATGTTGCTTTTGGAAGTGTAAACTGGTACAATCTTTACGGAGAACATTTTGGCAATATTTATAAAATTACAAAATGTATATGCACTTTAATCCAACAGCTCCACATCTATGCATTTATCCTATAAATATACTTCATTTGTGAACAATGATGTATATAGATGTTTGTTCTCTGACTCATGGATTGTAACAGCAAAGATTAGACACAAACTGTTCACCAATATGAAACTACTGAAATAACTTACTGTGTGTCTATGGAATAGCATGCAAAAGAAGCAGAGAAGCAAAGGTACCGGCTTTGTGGACTGATATAAAATAATCCCCCATGATTTGTTAAGTCAGTAAAGCAGGACTCAGGACAGTGTTTCCTGTATGCTACATTCATGTTAAAAGGGAAAGAACATACATTGATATTTGCTGGTAAGCGGATAGAGCATCTCAGAAGGTTTACATACCTGCATGTTCCTGTACACACACCCTGCCGTGGTGATACTATTTGTCTCCAGGAGGGGAAGTTGGAGGTGGCTGATTTTTATTCTATGGTCTTTCCTGACTTCTAAATTTGTAACTTGTTAATGAACTGTCTATTCCAATCAAAATTAAGAATTAAAAACACAATATAGCGGCTGGGCGCGGTGGCTCACGACTATAATCCGAGCACTTTGGGAGGCCGAGGTGGGGAGATCAGGAGATCTAGACTATCCTGGCTAACATGGTGAAACCCCGTCTCTACTAAAAATACAAAAAAATTAGCCGAGCGTGGTGGCACATGCCTGTAGTCCCAACTACTCGGGAGGCTGAGGCAGAAGAATCGCTTGAACCCAGGATGTGGATGTTGCAGTGAGCCGAGATCGCGCCACTGCACTCCAGCCTGGGCGGCAGAGCAAGACTCCATCTCAAAAAAAACAGACAAAAACAAAAACAAAAACAGAAAAACCAAAAAGCAGTATAGTACAACAGTATGAAAGAAAAACTATATCTTTAAGTGTTTGCTTCTATGGTATTTATAACCTTTACATTCTATCTTGGTTCTATTTACAATAAAACATTAAAGTGATATGGATATAGCAATGTACAGTTCACATACATTGAACTGTGTGAACATGTGACGGACATGTGAGTCCGTCCTAATGACAGCTTTGTGAAACAGATCATTATCTGCCCTCCCTCCCACTTTATGAAATAAGAACATTGAGGCTCAAAGAAAGAATGTAGTTTGTCCAGGCTCATATGGGTAGTGACTGACGAGGCCTGACCTGACCTCTGTTCCACACATTTAATTATACTGTTATGGTTTTCCAGAGTGAAAACGGTTGCCCCTCCATCGAAGCAATGGATGAACTGGCAAAAATCTATCAGTATTGACTCTTTTAGAACTCTGGACACAAATCCAAAGGCTTCAACTAGGGGAGTGCTTAAGTAAGAGAAAGAGCCGTGTGTCATTTTTACTTATGCTTTTCCACCCCTGCTCTCCAATTCAGTGATAGCCTTGAAAATAACGGCCTGCATTTCTGGCATGGGTACTGCAGGGAGCAGAATGAACCTCGCTCAAGAATTCTAATGATTTGCTCTCATTTGTCTGGTGGCTCCCTCAAAGACTGGCTCAAAAGGCTTGCCTTTACCTTGCCTAACTTGGAACTTGATCGGTGCTAAAGGGGTGTAATGTCAAAAACGTTTACAGGCAAGTGTTTTTGTCACAGTTGCCTGATGCAGTGGATCAGAATTGAGGAAAACAAGAGATAACTAAAAAGCTTGGGAGGCAAGGCTGGAGATTGAGATGCTTTGGAAAATAAAGGTTGTAAAAAGCCTTAAAATATTGCTGAGAATATAAAGGCCACATGACTGAGAAGGAGCTGGAAACATAAACTTCTGGCTGATCCTCAGGTTCTGTGCAAGCAGGAAGCGAGGGCTCAGGCAGAGTTAGAAACTGCTTTGCTGAGTGCTAAAGGGGTGCCCCAGCACACACACTGCTCATCTGCAAAGACTGGGAGGTTTTTTAGTTCCAGGCATTTAAGAGAATCTCTGTCTGATCATTAGTTATCATTAAACTAATGGAACATAGACTTCCATAGCCACACAAAACAAAGCATACAGACTTGACAAAATCAGTTCACGAGAAAAGTCATGAAGCAAACAAACAATAGGTACAAGAGCAGAAGCAACAAACCCTGAGGAGGGAGAAGAATCTGATTTCCAAAGTTGCCACATTATAATATTCAAAATGTCCACTCTTTAACAAACAGCTGTTAGGTAAAAAAGTCAAGGAAATATTGCTCCTATACAAGGAGAAAAAGCAACAGTTTCTGAAGAAACTGTCTAAGGAAGTCCAGACATTGGACTTACTAGAAAAAGTCTTCAGGTTGGGTGTGGTGGTTCACGCCTGCAATCCCAGCACTTGGAGAGGCCGAGGCAGGCAGATCACCTGAGGTCAGGAGTTCAAAACCAGCCTGGCCAACATGGTGAAACCCTATCTCTACTAAAAATATAACAAAAATTAGCCAGGCATGATGGCAGGCACCTATAATCCTAGCTACTTGGGAGACTGAGGCAGGAGAATCACTTGAACCTGGCAAGCAGAGCTTGCAGTAAGCTGAGATGGTTGCAGAACATTGTGAATATACTAAAACACACTGAATTGGTACAATTTCAAATGCTTAACATAGTGAATTTTATATTATGTGATTTTTTTTTCTCAATTAAAACAAATTTTAAAAAATTTCATTTCTAAATAAAAGTATTGGTTTTACTTGATATGAAGTCACTTTGCCTATCATGAGTCAGAGAATACACTCTTTCATCACGATTATGATAAATCAACAACACTCCCTCCCACCTTGCTGCCTTGGCATTTACTGTCCTTTTCCCTGGACTTTCTCCTTTCGCAGTGGTATCCTTCAAGATACAACTCCAACCAGGCACAGTGGCTCACATCTATAATCCCAGCACTTTGGGAGGCCAAAGTGGGAGGGTCGCTTGAGGCCACGAGTTCAAGACCAGCCTGGGCAATATAAAATTTTTTTTATAGAGACAGCCGTCTCTATAAAAAAAATTTTTTTTAAAGGTAGCCAGGTGTGGTGGCATGCATCTATAGTCCTAGCTACTGGAGCGGCTGAGGCAGGAGCATCACTTGAGCCCAGGAGTTCGAGGTTGCAGTGAGCCATGATCATGCCACTGCACTCCAGCCTGGGTGACAGAGCAAGACTCCAACTCTATAAAAAGAAGTGTAGCTCCAGGCAGGGCACAGTGGCTCATGCCTGTAATCTCAGCACTTCGAGAGGCTGAGGCGGGCAGATCACCTGAGGTCAGAAGTTTGAGATCAGCCTGGCCAACATGATGAAACCCCTACTCTACTAAAAATACCCCGTCTCTACTGAAAATACAAAAATTAGGTGGGCAGGGTGGCGCATGCCTGTAGTCCCAGCTACTCGGGAGGCTGAGGCAGGAGAATCAATTGAACTCAGGAGGCGGAGGAGCAAGACTGTCTCAAAAAAAATGTAGCTCCAATGTTGCATCCTCAATGAAGCCATCCACAGTCTCCCACGCTAGAGCACATTTCCTTGTCCTCTGCATGGCCCTGGCACAGCGGGCCTGGTGCTTCCCTGCTGGGTCCCTGGGGCTCTTACATACATTTGTCTCCCACATTAGGTATAAATTCCTTTGAGGGCAAAGTAAATTTCAGGTATCTCCACATCCTCCTCAAGGTTGAATGCAGTATCTGGCACTTGTGATCACCCTCGAGTTAAATAAAAGCAGTAAAAATAATTCTTCTAAAACTTGTTTCCATTATGTGCCTCCACACAAATAACTGTTAAAACAAGACTCTGAATTCCTTGGAATGCAATGAATTTACACAAAATAATTTAAGGATTAGCTATTCCTTTACTATCTGATCAATGAAGAAATCTCTTTTCCCAAGTATTAGACATTTGGATACTGGATTGCCCTTAAATCAAGTTGACAGGGACTAAAATGTTGACTTTCAGCTTTTGCGAGAACCGTTTTAGCCTTTCTGGTGGGATATCAAACAATCTTCCTGACTGAGATATTTCAAGAACTTTAACCAAAAGGCACATAACCCTCAACAAGATGCAAAGACCCCGATACTCTGTCATGGACCTACTTTCCACGATGTTTATAGTTACAACATGCCCTGATCCTTGAGAATATAAAACGCTTGGTTCTCAATGACAAGCTACTTTGCGCCTCCCTTGGAGGAGTACAAATCTAGGCAGCGGACAATCGCCGTGCCTCGTTCGCTGTCTTACCTCCCGCTCAAGGGTCCTCCTCCTGAGCAGTTTCCTGACACTCGGGAGCTGCTTCTTTAACAGCATCGTGGCTTCATTCATTCTTCTTACTTGAGTGATCAAAAAAGATGGAACCTGGAGAAGAAAAATAGCTTGGACTGGATGGAAAACACTTGAATTCAACCTCCCTAGCAGATTCTGTCTTCAGGCATGGCAACTCCTCCCAGTCACTCGGTATCCTGGAGCCAGAAATGGTGACATCGTCCTTATAAAGTTTAGAAAAAATTATGTGGATCCCTGTTTCAAAGGGAAACTGTGATAAAGAGTAGCCCTTCTGGAAGCTGTAAGGATGTCACAGCCACCTGGGGTTATCTTCTCATATTTCTTCCCTGTGACCAAGGGAGTTGCCCAGTCACGGAGCCTTTACATTTCCTGAGGCCATGGACTTACGAGGAGGACCTGTCATCACAACGTCACTCACCTTCCACAAAATTTTCTGGTACTTAAGCATTAGGCGGATGATGTGGGCCGCAGTGTTTGCTAACAGTAATTCTTCATAATCAGAGTGTTTGCTTCTACTGAAGAAAAGGTTTGGTGCCATCACTGTAGAAATGTTCCACAGACTCATTCGGTTTTTTGATTCATTGGCGATCACTTTACTGAAGAATGTCATGAGGGCCTAAGAAGAAACAGCATCATGTCATACAATTGCACACCGTCAAAAGGTGCCCCTGATTGCTATCGTTCATTCTGTTCCCATTCACTCTGCTGCCAGAGAACTGTCAGAAGTACAGAATGGTTCAACGTACCATGTTTCCCCTCTAACTGGTTAAAAGTACCGAGAAGAAATGTGAGCAGTATATTCAAATGTCTGCTTCGTAAAAGTGGCCATTTTAATGGATTTTATTATATTGCAGTTTCTATAAATATGGTTTGCATTTTCTTTTCTTTTATCCTAAAAGAGTTTGACAAGTGTTAAAATTAAATATAAACCAGGAAGAGAAAACGCTGCAGTTCAATAAACACGAAAGGTAGTTTTGTTGTGAAGGAAAGTAATTCTGAAAAATACCCTTACCTTAAAGCATTGTTGTTGAAAACTATTTACCATTTCCTAGGGAGAGGAAAATCCACTTAAACAACAGGAGTGTCTCATTCCTCAGCCTGAATGTAAACTCAACTCAACAATTTAAAAAAATGGACTTTTTGGGTGCTATTTTTCTATGCTTTTCAACTTGGAAATTGTCAGCTGGCCAAAAGCAAATGTTTGTGTGCAGGTATTTGAAGCAAAAAAAAAAAAAAAAAAGAATTGACAAAGCTTAATACAAGTTTGCTGTGTTACCGAAGTATAAATACTTATCAGAAACTTCTGAAGTTCACCAAGACAAATGAAATCCCCAAAAGAAGTGCTCTTTGGCTTTCCGAGTTTGAATTCCACCATACGGTATTCGCAATGAGAAAAACAGCACTGAAGAGTAATAATAGTCAGCATTCATTTGAGGGTTTGCTGTGAGCCAGGCGTTACCCTTAGTATTTTATATATATTCACTTCTCATCATTCAAACCCTGTGAGGGGGGTACTATTATTATTTCACAGATGAAGAGAGCCAGGTGGAGAGGGGCTAAGCAGCTTTGCCCAGCATCAGTTAATTAAGTGGCAGAGCCAGGATCTGAACCAAAGGAACCAATTCTTCAGTTAGAGTTCTTGACCTCTAACTCACACCAGCCGCAATCTTAGCTCCAGTCACAATTTAGAATAAAAAATTGAGAGAGAGGGAGGGAGGGAGGGGGAGACAGAGAGAGAGCGCATGTGTGTAACATCCTCACCAGTCCCGTGATGTTCTGGGGGGACCTTTTGTTAGAAATGTATTAAATTATTTGATAAATGCTGCATCCTCAGTTGTATGAAAGGGTAAATGATGTTTTAACTCAGATATTTGACACCAGATGGATTTTTTTTTGATAAAAGAACACTGTGTACACAAAGCCAAAAAACAAGCTAATAAATTTTCAGCTTTTGAAAAATTACTGAATTATATTAGAAAAGGTCATTTTTATGTCATAGCTGATCTCTGCCCTCGCCTCAAGGATATAATATGACTGACATACATTATAATTGACATAGATATTTTCGCTGTGTGGGAGGAAGGTCCTTAGAACACTGAAATGTGTGATAAGAGGCAGCACTAACAACCATCTTTGTTTTCAGCATTATGTTTACTGGCCTCAAAATTACCATCTCTTTTCAACTCATCCTTATCTCAATTTCATTTCAAAGATTCCAAATACCTGTTGTACTTAAAATAAATTTCCTATTGTATATAGAATGATTATCCAGAGAGCAAGAGAAACTTTGATTTTTACCAACATATAGCAAAGAATAAATGTGAAATAAAGGGAGAAACATTGGGGATGAAACTATAGAATATGATTATATCAAATGTTCTATTATATATTAGTGGAGAAATCACTTTTCTGCTTCATTTTCCTAATATGTAAAATGACCAAATTCTATCAGATGATCTCTAAAATTCTGAAATTCTGGAAGTATTTAAATTATTTTCACAAATTTAAAAACGTGAACACATTGGAAATATAATTTAAACTAGTGATTTCCAATTCCTCCCCGAGGACGCTCATCAGAGTTTTCTTTCCACTTCTGTACATCAGACTAACATGAGTAGAGTAGCTGAGAACCAGCAATTCTAGAGTCTATTTTACAAGTTACATAATGCTCTTATTGACTTCTGACATTGTCCCATTTAAGCCTTCATCTTTGCCTCTTCTCCTACTCCTAACACCTTGCCCCGTGCCTGACACAGGATAGACAGCCAATATCTCTGGGGTGAACAGAGTGAATGAAAGTTAAAGATACCACTCGGGTGTGGTGGCTCACACTTGTAATCCCAGCACTTTGGGAGGCTGAGGCAGGAGGATTACTTGAGCCCTGGGGTTAAGAGACCAGCCTGAGCAACATGGCGAAACCCTGTCTCTACAAAAGCCGGGTGTGGTGGCGCATGCCTGTAGTCCCAGCTACTTGGAAGGCTGGGATGAGAGAGTCACCTGGCCTTGGGAAGTCAATGCTGCAGTGAGTTGTGATCGTGCCACTGCACTCCAGCCTGGGTGACAAAGCGAAACTCTGTCTCTCAAAAAAAAAAGAAGATACCAAGCTCTCCACTCTTTCTTGTCTTCCTCAGGAGAAGGGCAGTGGGAGCGCAGAAAGGCCGTGTGTTGGCAGCATGCTCAGGTGGCTCAGTGAGTTGTCACCTCCATTTTCATTTTCCTATATGAGCCACATCCTCTGAGCAATAAGAGCCCCCTGACAAGCCGTGAGGTGGACACGACGTACCTCAGCTGTATCCCTGTTGGCATCAGGCAGCGCCATGACCATGAGGTGTAAGGCTTGAAACTGTACTTTGACGTGAGGCCCTCCTAACAAGAAAACAGAAATAGGCATACATTTTAAATAACCCTGATGCATCCCGACAGCATTTCTTGCTAGCATCTGGTGGCACAGGAGGGCTCCTGACAGCTTGTGGTGGTAAAGACTCAGGTTTTGTGCCCAGCAATGTAAATTTCTTCACTTGGACAGGCGCCTCCGTCCATCAAGTTCCTTTTCCTATCCCACCATGCCATTGTTGAGGCAGGTGGCCAACGAGATCCTCAGAATAATTCTGAAGTTGGATAGCACTTCCCTTTCAAAGTACTTTCACAGACCTTCCCTTCCTTTAATACTATAAATAGAAGTAAAGCTCAATATAAGAGAAAAAAAATCTTGCTTCCATATAATGAGGCAGAAAAGTGTAAGTATTAGGAACACAGATTTAGAACCAGGTTCCAATCCTGGTCTACTATTTAGTCGCTGTGTGACCTGGGGCAGGTTATTTAATCTACTTGATTATCTGTATCTACTTGATTATCTGTAAAATAGGAATAGTCATTGTACCTACCTCACAGGCTGTTATGAGGATTAAATGAGTTAATATAGGTAGAGTGCTTAAATCAGTACCTGTACATAGTTATCTTTCTACATGTTTGCTCTTTTTTTTTTTTTTTTTTTTTTTTACGATCTATGACACTTATTCTAGATCTTTCATGGACGCTTAGGGAAGGTGACGACTGTAGTTGGATCTTTGGAGATTGTTGAGGATTTTCTTCCTCAATAATGACACAAGATGGCGCCAGAGGGTTGGCATTTATACTCTGGGATTCCATCCACAGCTGGATAATCCACGACCAGCTGTGCTGAAAATTTAGAATACACCAGAGAATCTAGGCTTTCCTTTGTCCCTCTGTATTCTCTTCAAAATGGTGTCTTGGTGGGGAGTTCCTGTAGGAAAGCATTATGTTCAGGAATCTCTGGGGAGTTCTCCAGTTGAAGGAAAATCTATCTGTTTCTATTCAGTGGCTGGAAGGCAGTCAGCTGCCGGTGAAGTTAACTGAGCTGTACAGCAGTGGAAACACTTGTGACAAGCTACTAGGTTACTGGAGCTGTGTGTGCTAGAGTTCAGGAGTAGATGACAAGTGTATACAACCAAGTCATATGGCGAGAGAGGGAGGATCATATTGTTGAAGAAAAATCCACGTGTGGATTTGTAGATACTTGTATCAAATTTATAATGACACAGGTCCAGGATGTTACTGAAAACAGCAAATACAGGTTGATGTGAGCTTGCCTGAATAATAGAAACTTTAAGAGCAAGTCTCAGTGCAAAGCATTTAGGGGCAGATAAGACATTATGTTAGTGCATAAACTGCAGTCTGAGAACGGTCTCTAATCTTCCAATGCAATTAAAAAAACAAACAAACAAACAACTCTGGGGGGAAAAAAACCAAGAGACGCAGATACAGGCTTGGGACCACTGTGTGTCCATTAATTTCAGAGAAATTATGAAACTCTTTTAAGATTAAGTTTAATTTTGCAAATATTCCCTTTTCATTTTACTTAGGAAACACTGTTTTGTGGTTAATAGTTTTGTAGTTAATTCATTTAATACATCCCAGCCACGAGTATTCCCTCTCCTGAGGTCGTTATTTCCCCAGAAAGTTACTAAGCAAGTAATGAAAGCATCCGAGGCTTGATTGATGAACTACTAGTCCTTAATTTTACAGTCAAGGTTGGGGTCAAGTTTGAACAGAGAAAGTAATATTAGTGGGAAAGGCTCTGTGTTCTCTGAGCTCCATCTGACGGTATTGAGAGGCACAGCTTAAACACACACACATGCACTTGTTCACAGTCCTCCCCTTCAGAAAATCTTGTTACAACTAGAGCTTACTTAGGTGGCAAAAAGGTCATTATTTCCTGCTGGTAGCAGGCCAGAACTCTGGGCTTCCTGCAGGGTTCGCTGGTATCAAATCAACCACCTGCAATATAGTATTTTTCACTTTCAAAGCTATACGAAGGAATGTGGACTCCTTTTTGAACCCTTTCAGGATATTTCTCAGAACCTCTCCCTTCAGTGAAATGTACTGGCTGCAGTCAGATAGGCAGCAATGATGATGCAGCATGCAGTAAATGCTACACAGAAGGTAATTTGTCTCTGAAAAGTGCGTCACACAACATTTCTGAAAATTACAAAGTCATACAGATTAGGTCTTAAGTGAAGTATTTGGGTAAAAGCACAAAAACTATGAAGTATGTTTTGTAACTGACAGGGAATCATTTGGCATGGTTTGAACATAAGGATTGAATATTTTGGAAGATGAAAATTAATATATTCATATACCCTTCTTAAATATGATTCTCTGAACAGATCTGGAATTAGAGGTTTTGAATCCTCCTTACACAATTCAAAATACCAAAAAACAAAAACAAATGAGTGATCCAGAGATGGAAGACCCTAATTCTGGTATAAACTTCACCCAAACCTCTGGCTGAGCCCCAAACCATGTGTGTGGGGTAACACGGCAAAGGACTGAACAACTGAACAGAGAATCAAGCTCCTGCCCAAAAGACCACTGGCAATTTGAGTCCAGCCAAGCAAACTGCCTGCTTCAAAGAGCAACAATAGAAAAAGAAACCAAACAACATTCTTTGGAGAAATACTTCAGAATCCATGGTCTCCAAACACTATATTCATAATGTTCGGAATAAGCTTTAAACTTACTTGACATACAAAGTAACAGGAAAGTGTAACCTACTCTTAGAGAAGACAGAGATCAACCCTGAGATATCCCAGGTGTTGGAACTAGCCAACAGGAATTTTTTTTTTTTTTTTTGAGACAAGAGTCTTGCTCTGTCGCCCAGGCTGGAGTGCAGTGGCGCGATCTCGGCTCAATTCTCCTGCCTCAGCCTCCCGAGTAGCTGGGACTATAGGCGCTCGCCACCATGCCCTGCTATAGAGACAGGGTTTCACCATGTTAGCCAGGATAGTCTCGATCTCCTGACCTTGTGATCCGCCCGCCTCGGCCTCCCAAAGTGCTGTGACTACAGGCGTGAGCCACTGCACCTGCTGCCAATTCTGAAGCAGCTATTGTACCTGTGCTCAATGCTGTGAAGGAAAATATGATTCTAATGCATGAAGAGATAGGTCACGTCAACAGAAAAACAAAAAGTATTCTAAAAGCACCAACTGAAAATTCTAGAACTGAAAAAATACAATATCTGAAATAAACATGAATGAAGGAAATTAGTAGCTCTTCTCTCTTAGCAAGTTTTTCTCATAAAATAAAAACAGTAAGCTTACAAAGAAAAGAGATACTAGTCACGGACAGCATGTGAATTAAAGCTTAGAAAACAACTGCCTTGCCTGCCTTATTCTGTTAAGACACAAAAGATTATTTTATGAATCTGGTTTAGTTAAAACATTCAAAGATTTAGAATCTACATATATTTTAGGACAGATTTTGTCACACAACTTAGGATCTATTATTTTCTTTCATTGTAATTTTAATGATTTTGTAGTTCTGGCCAAACTGCAGAAGATTGTAAACTGGCAGATACAGACATCACCTGTTAAGTCCACACAACATTTTAAAATTTAAATTAGTGGCTGGGCCAGGTATGGTGGCTCATGCCTATAATCTCAGCACTTTGGAGGGCGAGGTGGGGAGATCACTTGAGGCTAGGAGTTTGAGACAAGCCTGGCCAACATGGCAAAACCCCATCTCTACTAAAAATACAAGAATCAGCCAGGTGTGGTGGTGCACACCTGTAATCCCAGCTACTTGGGAGGCTGAGGCAGGAGAATCACTTGAATCCAGGGGGCGGAGGTTGCAATGAGCCAAGATTGCGCCACTGCACTCCAGCCTGGGCAACAGTGCAAGACTCTGTCTCAAACAAACAAAAAAAATTAGTGGCTGACATTCTCAAATTAGGTTTTCCCATTAAAGCCTGGATTTGGCTCTCAGTCTGGCACAGCAACCATTATCGAGAACCAAGCAGTGGTCAGTGTCTCTAGATGGGGTGTGTCCTCTCAGTTTGGACACAGACCTTTTCGGTCCATGTAGAATCAACATTTACTTAGCATGCTCATACATATTTAGACTTCTGACACCTGAACTCCCCAGGTTAACAGTTAAAGCCCCCACTATGTACCCCCATTCTACTTTTCCAAACTTTTCTCTTGTTACATCCTCCACAATATTCAACCTTTATGCTCAAACCATGCCAAATGATTCCTGTCAATTACGACACACACTTTATAATTTTTGTGCTTTTGCCCACACATTTCACTTAAAGGCCTAATCTATATGACTTTGTAATTTTCAGAAACGTGATGTGACTTTGTAATTTTCAGAGACAAATTATCTTCTGTGAAGTATTTATTGCATGCTGCATCATCAGACCTAGGACCTCAGATTTAAGAAAGAGAGTGATGTCCTATTTTTTGATGCATTACCACACACCAGGCTCTATTCTAAATGACTTCATTCAATATCCATGGCTACCCTGACAAGTAATTATGATCTGTAATTTACAGACGTAGTAACTGAGGCTCAGAAGGTTTGATTGCATGGCTAACAGATGGTGGCACAGGAATCCAAATCTCAAGAGCCTGGTCTTTCTGCAAACCCCTCTGCCTTTTAATGATTATAAAACCCTCTAAACCAGGCTTAAGTATATAAGTATGTAAGTAGGTGACTGTTTGCCATCAAACTTAATATTCCACTAAGCACTGTCAGGACACAGCAAATCTATACATGAGCACATTTGATTCAGCATCTCTCTTCTGCTCTCACTTTAATGACCTTATATCTTAGTGTATTCACATTTGACGTCTTCCACCTACTTTCCATTAGACTGATGAAGGCAGGTATGTATTCCACAGGGAAGAGAGAGGTGGGTAGTTCTCTGAAAAATGCTTTCAACATTACTGCAGCTTCTCTATGGCACATTTTGTCCCACTTAAATTTATCAGCATTAAACTTGGCATCAAGTTCTTCACGGTATTGCTGTAAATCAAGGAAAACAGTCAATATTCAATGCGTTTTTACCACGTGACCCCATTTTCCCCTTCCAAAACTGTTCTTACATAAAGTATTTTTATAAACAGACTGGTAAGGTAATGTCTCCTAAGAGTAATTTTTTTCAAAGGGATTAAGGGAAATAGCTATGTGAGGACGAATTTTTAAAAACAATTTTCTAAAATATTTAAAAGATAATGTTAATCTTGAAATAATTTTCTAATTCTACACAAATATAGAAGTTCTCTACTCTGATCACAGTTTCATTTCTGTGGTTTTGGCAGAATACCGCTATTCCCACATGATAAATACACTGTTGGATTCTGACAAAGTCTCCGTTCCCCCTATTTCATAATGCCTTCTGCTATCCTCTATTTCTAAATTAGATCAAGAAGGTTTGCCTCTTAGCCAGTTCACACACAGAATGAGAACTATCCCAACAAAGTAACTGTGACCTCACTGCAACATGCAAACCTATGACATCTTCCTGGAGCAGTGACAGCAAAGTTTTATTCCAAGACAGACACATGTCTTCCACATGTTTGCACGCTTGCCCAATCCTTCGTAAGCTTTGGAACACTGTGCAAATACTTTTAAAAAAATCTCTAAGCCTCCGTAAGTTCTACTTGGCTTACAAATTTTACATTATTAATTCATCTGATTATCAATGCCACTCAGGCTTCATGTTTCTTTTCAAAGGCAAACTCATTTTTTACTGCTCCTTTGAACTACAAGGTTTACCTATAATGCTAGCAGTTATAGTGAGTCTCCCAGCTGACACTAACGGCTCCAGAAAGGATACTTAGAAAGGGAACTCTAAAAGCTCTGTTTCTTTAAGACCTCTGCTTTATTCTCATGAGAAGCCTAATTTTTCTGGCCTTGAGCATGCACAGCCAGAGTCAGTGTGCACATCTGACCTTTTCCTAATAAGGATCAGCTCATTAACCAGCCAGCCATAATCACTCTCTTGGCTCCCAGAGCCTGCAAACTGGAGGTCCCTGGCAGCACAAGTTTCTTACAGAGATACACGTGAGTATGATGCACCCTCTAACCCCTACTGATAATATCAAAAGGAGATTTTCTTCTTGTCCTGGAGAAGCTTTCAATCTTACAGGAATACTTCAGCTAATCAAGAAACGCTTTGGTGATAAATACACTTTACAAAATCTTAAGCATAAATATAAAGTTCTTTCTAGAATGAAAGATATAGAGTGGGCTCTGAAAAGAGGAGGATGTATGAGATCCATTCTTTGCCTTTCGGTGTCCTGTAATCTAGTGGGTGGGACTATTTCATGGGCTGATATTACGAATTCAGAGTGCACATGCTGTAAGAAAAGTCATGTATTGGTGCTATGCAGCCAGGAAAGAGAGGAGTCAAACGCTGCTAGGGCCAAGTCTTGAGGATTACAGGAGAGAGGAAATCGAAGGGGATCCTGCTCAAGCAGTGATACAAATGCCAGCAGATCCAGTGTCTGCGGAACTCCAGTTCATTCAGCCTTGCTGGCACATCAAGGGCAAGGAATGAGGCTGGAGAGCAGCCAGCGCCAGTGCTAAGGGGACTAGCCTTCACCCTGTAGGCAATGAGGCAGACTGGAACATCTCTAAGCACAGGAACGGCAAGGGTAAATTTATCTTTTCTGACAGCCAGATGGGAAAATGATTTGGGGGAGCGTGGAGCTTGGCACAGGTCAGGTGGGTGGAAGCAAGTGACAGGCAAAGAACCCAGTTATCAGGCCACGGCACCACTTCCAGGAACGGATAACTAAGGACTAATCTGGATAAACAGTTGTAGGACAGAAAGGAGAGGAGGCATTTAAGAAATGCCCAGGAGGGAAAATTCTCAAGAATCAGTGATGGATTGAATATGAGACTCAGAGGGAGAAATAATCATCAGAGATGATTTTCCAAGATGATTTCCATCTGATTTGTAATGGCAGATGGCAGTGTTGTTAACAGGAAAAATACAGGAGGAGGAGTAAGCATTTCCCATCAATCGCCTGGTACCACTGTGCACAGGAAGCACCAGCGAGAGGAGAAGAATTCAAATTCATTTTCCACATACCTCTGCCAAAGGAATCTATCTGAATCACGAATGTGGCCATCCTAACCTGTGAGTAGTGCCCGGTCACCTAAGGGGCAACAGGGCACCTGGGTCAAGGGCAGGTGCTACAACCAGATCCTTTAGGATTTTATCCTGACTCTGCAGCTGACTAGGGTATGGTCTGTGCTTCAAGCTTCCCAATGTACAACGGAACATTAAAACGACATTCCCAAGATCAAAACAAGTGGCAGGTCCTGCTGACAGCTCCCAATAAACGCTGCACTGACTGCTTGCCCCTCCCCCACTCTCAGGTCTCTTCTAACCCGCAGTGTCATTACTATGGGAACCCCACACGTATGCGGTGTGACTGTTTAGGGAATAATACCGCGTCATCTTGTCTGGATGGCTGGTATAAAGCAACGCTGAGAGAAAGAATGTCTGTTTTTTGGTTCTGAACAGAGCTGACCTATATATGGTGGTCCCAATGTGAAACCATATCAACCAGGTGTGAGTTTACCTTGCCAAAGACAGGGAGCACTTAGAGGTTCCGAAGCCCTGTTTTTCTGACCCCTGTTACTGAGAGCACTAGGCAAGGATGAGAAGTCTTGTCATTAAAACTCCCTTCAGCAAAAATGCAACCTGACTCTATTTTGGAGGTAGTTTTATACAAATGCAAATGACCAGCCTAAATAAGCCAGGTGAGGTAATTATAAAACATTTAGAACAGCCTTGGAATGATTCGAACTAGTCAAAAAAGAAAAACTCGCATGTCAAACAGTCTGTCTCTTTCCATAAAATATATTCCCCGGTGTTTGGCTCAAATTTCTGTCATTTTTGAAAGAAAATCATTGCAAACACCAACCAAAGCATTAAATTGGTTCCAAATGAGCTGAGGCCTCGAGTCTGGGACTTGGCTCCGCAGCTGCGTGTTCCCTGTTTGGCTAAAACCAGCAGCTTCCTCCCAGGGTTGCTTCTCTGTCAGCCTCCCCAAGCATTTAAAGCACAAAGCCAGGCCAGACCGTTCACAGTAATGATACACTAGCGGACCACAGGGCTGGAATCATCGACGTGGTTCAATTCGAGGATAATTATAATGGAGTTTTTAGTAGTTCAGTGGATGAATTACAAAAAAGGAGGTAGCTTAAATAAAAAGCTTGAATGAAGGAGAGGAATAAAGAGCCCTTTAACGCATCACGTTTCAATGTCTTTCTAACTGCAGTGTTTCCCGGTTTCTGTTCACTTGCCCAGATTTCTTTCACATTGGCCTTCCTGGGGCTCAAACCATGAAAACATCTGGATTACATTTTCCACTAATAAGTGATGGAATAAATAGGCTGAAACTACGTAAAACTGGGAAGAAAAAAGACTTTGACCTATATGTGGTCCAGGAATGCATGTGCCTATAAGAACATTCTGAAGGAATGATTAGCCTTTGAGAAGCATTTTTCAGTGGAAGATTAGACAAAGAAAGGTAACTGCTGCTATGACATTAAACTTTGTGCACATAAGACATGCCCTGTAATGTTTTCTCCTTTTGGTGATTTAGAAACAAGACATTTAAATCATATCCATTATGCATGTTATACACCCATGCATGCGTGTGTACACACGCACGCGCGTGCACACACACACAGAGGAACCAGGAAGAACATATGCAAATAGTTTCCCAATTATGGACAGAGGTTTCAAGAGATGGAATATGTTTCTGTTTAGGAAATTTCTTTCTTTCATTTTGGTTCTCTGACTCTACAGATATAACCAAAGATTTAACCAAAATAAGTAACGGTTTTCATCCTTACGTGTAGGATACATCTGTTTAGAAGAGTATGTAGGAACCAAACACACGAGAAATGGAGACAAAAAGCAGATTCAACTTAGAAAGCATAAACCTCAAGGAGCCGTTGGGCTTCTCCCTGCCTTCCACAAGAACTTGTGCCAGCATTCAGCCAACTCCACTCTCAGGGAAGTCGTAACCCCTCAACATGCCCGGAGCCCTGAGTCCTGGTGCCCTGCTCTGACCTCCCTTCATGGAAGACCTCGCCCTCATGTGCAAAAGCTCAGGTAGCAGACTCCCCCAGCTGCAGGCCCCTTCCAGATGTGGCTCAGCCATATTTTCTGCAGGAAGCCCCAGCCCACGACGGAGGGAGGCACGGGTACTAGGGCCTGGCCCATTCTGCCCAGCACACAGCTCCTCCACGATTAGGAATTGTCAGACCTGCACCGTGGTCAGAGCCTCACCCCAGCCAATCCTGATTCCTGCCCCTTTCATCCTGCAGAAGCAGTACTGCCATGACCCTCCTCTGCTCCTCACCCATCTCAGCATCTGCTTTCTGGAGGATCCAATAGACACAGCCTATCTATTCTCAGTTTCCACTTAGAAAAACCTCTCATCACACTTCTATATAAAAACTGTGAGACTGATACAAATAGAATTTCCCAAAGCATGTACCAAAATGAATTAATGAAGAGACGCTGTTTTGCCTCTACAAATGTCTTTTTGATAAACATTACCACATTTGTTTTCCCCTGCCCCGAGACTGTTTGCTCAGGGATCCATCTTTTAAAACTGCTCAGGTTTTCACATTTGCAAGCCAGGGAGTGATCCAACTGCAGGAAGGAGCTCTCCATGGTGGATGCCTACCACAGACACAGTGGGATGTTTTGGTGGATTTTTATGAGAAAACCTTTTCTTTTCTAATAATTCTTTGCGCTATTATACTGTAGAGTTGGCCACCTCATGGAAGTAAGAAAGCAAAGGAAGAAGATTCACACTGAACAACTGGTTTTAGATGTGGATGTTAACATTACCGTAAGTGGAACTGGGCTTTGGAACTGCTGAGTGAGTATTCTAGTGGTTATATAGCCACTGTTACAAATTCCTGTAAGAGCTTTCACTAAAGGGAGAGCCAAGGAATGTTTAAACCAACGAATGATGGAAATAAAGGCTCATATAACATTGGCTTAGTGAATTTCATGGCTGAGAGGAACACAACAAACTAAGGTGTTTAACCTCCAAAACAGTGGTGAGACATTTCAACTTTTCCAAACTAAAGGCAAGCAGCAGTTTTTTATGGTGAATTGATGTGCTATTTCATTGTTGTTTTTGGTTTTTTAATGTTTCTGCCTTGATTTTTAAAATTCTGGATCATGAAAACACTCTGGAACAAACATGTTACCACAGGTACCAAGGAATACTAGGAAGGACCAAGTGATGATCTAATAAACAACAACAAAGACTAGATACCCGATGCTTATGTGAACGGGGTCTAGCTAGCTTAGAACTCTACCTAGGAAGAGACAAAATGTTCAGTACCTTGACTTTAGCAGTACATCCCGAAAGTCGAAAAATTCCTTCAGATTCCAGACCTGATTCCTCAACTTTCTCAAAAAACTAGAAAGCAATGATAGATTACAAGAATTAGTGCCTCTGTGATCGTAAACATATAAAACAGTAACAATGATGACATGAATCAATAAGTGACCAAGCATATACGTGCCTGACGCTTGAATGCTGTTAAATGTTCATAACCATCCTATGCTGCCAACATTATCCTCCAACATGCAAATGAGAAAGTAGAGATTTATAGTAGTTACACAACTTTCCCGAGATCAACCTTGTAAGTAATGGCACCGACTCGTTTGCGCTCTTAACCACCTCTAAAATTACAGATACCTCTTCGCCATTTTTAAGATCTGATTACTATAACTCTCTCTGCAGACTGATCAGTAACAAAAGATTCTAAATCTACTGTCATTGGTTGCAGTCACTCTGACTAAGAAACGGTAGGAATTCTAGATGTCTGATCAAGGAGTTTAGACGGGGTAAAGATTAATAGCTTTCACGAGTTCTAAGGATGGTGATGGGTGTTAAAAAAGTGATAAACACTACCATGTACTGTGCACTGATTATGTGTAAGATCCTATTCTCAGTCCTTTACCTACATTAACGCATCTAATCCTCACAATAACCCTATGAGGTAGGTACTCTCGTTACCCCTATTCTACTGCTAAGGAGTCTAAGGAAAACAGTTCAATTCGCTGTAATAAAGCAGCTCACAGTGCATCTCTTGAAAGGATAATAACTTGGCCAAGTTCACCCAGTAAGAAGGGGATCCAGCGTCTCTGCTATTTTCCTTTCAAGAAATGATGGTGGATGGTGCCTGGAACTAAGGTAATTCTTTTAGGTACGGAGACAAATAGATATTTAGGAAGAAGAAACATGTCTGTAAGAAAAGCCTGTCTTGTAGGAGCGGGAGAGTACTATCTTGAGGTGTCGTAGTGAGGAACACTTAACATCCAGTAGTAATAACAACTAACATGTTGCTAATATGATATAAATCCAGATTTAGTTCAACTAGCACTTATTGAGTACTTTCTATTTGCTAAGTTCTATGCTAGATTTTTGTACCTACACAGTATTATAAACTCATGTGCTGAATCGTCTTTGATTTTGATGAATATTTTAAACTCTGTCCTTCACATACAGGACAAAATGCTGGTTTTAATGAAGGAAAGAAAATCTCAGCGTCACCATGGACTCTGGACTTTGCTATACGCTCTGCTCCTGTTCCCACTCCACCTCTTGCTGACTGTGTGTCCTGGGTAAGTTATCTCACTCTTCTATCCCTCAGTTGCCTCATCAGTAAAAGGGCAATGGTAACACCAGCCTCCTTGGGCTGCTCCGTGCTGACTAGACATGACATTACATAAACAGCACTGGCACAGCCCTGCCTAGGGAAGTCACCCACAGACGGCCCGTGTGTCCAAAGGTGTTGCTTGCATCCTTTGGCCATCTGGGTGCCATCTTCCTGGCTCCTATCTCCAGCCAATCAGTCACCTGACTTGAGAATTATCTCATTTTGAGGCACTGGTAACAAAATAGAGGAAGTTAAACAAGTGATGTACGATTAGCAGTGTCAGGTAAGTATATGCTTCTTAGACAGTATTTATCATTTTTATCATTTAAAAACTTGATTTAAAATTCAACAAGATTTGTGTTAAGGACTAGGAGTTTTAATTGTGCCACTGGATGTCACTGTTGAATAAATGCATACTTAGGTAAAAACCAGTGTAAATTGTTGGCTATAAAACAACATGACTTAAAAGTAAATCAGGTATTCAGCAACAATAGTCACAGAGACATCAGCATTTCATAGTTCAGATAACACCACCTTCAAAACCTCCTTCCACCCAAATTATTCTCTTTGTCTAACTGTATCCTATCTGACCAGACACACAGGAAAAAGGCCGGAACATGCTGGCTTTTAGATTTTATTAAACTTGGTTTGGAAAATTGATAAAATGATTACACATATACATATTTTTAAAACCCAGCCTATGCTGTATCTCAGCAAGTATTTGTATGGTTTATATATGCATGGTGATAATTAATGGTCATCTTTATCTAGACAGAATAATCAAATACACACATTCATAGGTGCAAATAACATTTGAAAAAATATTGGAAAAAAATGTGACTGTTTGTGCCCTGGGTCAGAACATCTGTGTCCATCACCTGATGTGTTATGAGCAAATAAAACGTAACAGGCTCCAAAAGAATGCAGCAAGGCCAACTCGTCCAGGAGCCATGGGCTGTTACGCGGTTCATGGAATAAAGCTGAAAATCACCAGGGGCCTGGGCCCTAATAGGGCGACAGTGTCTTTAAATCTAAAAGAAAATTTATTTTTTTGGGTTTACAAAGTAACAAATCATAAGCATGAAGGCTCTGTGAATTCCCCTTTCGTTTGCCTGCTACTCACTTTTTGTAATACCAGGGGAACTTTCACTCCAGGGTCTTTCTTTCGGTCACTGTCCAGGAGGACCGTAAGCGGAACTCCAAAAATCCCATTGTCTTCATTGTGAGCCAGTAAAGGGAGAAAGAAAAAAGAATCAGAAAAGCATTATCATTCCACTGTGTCAAAGTGTTAAAGCCAGAAGCAGTCAGTCTTCTTAGTTACCTCGTCCTTTTACTTTCTCTGTTTTGTTTCTTTTCAGTTGAATTCCAAAGGCATCAAAAAAGGCAGTCAATTCAATGAGAGAGAGATGGCGGATTTTCTTCATGTCTTCAGCAGACAGATCTCCTGCTTCAGTTAAGCCAAATCTGGTTTTCTGAACAATAAATTTCTAAAACACACAGTGAAGGCATTTATTTTTTCTGGTAAAGGAAAATTATTATACCTTCACTCAAATGCCACCTGGACACTCTGAATCTATGCAGTAGAACATGTTCTTTGCAAAATATCTCTAAGGAGCATGCTGCATCCTAGAAATATGAATATGTGGTTTAGAACATTTGCAGATCACCACTATGCTAATTAGAAGCAAAACAGCCGTCTAAAGTATATGATAACATTGCCATCGCAACTGCGAGGACTGCCTTCTTTACAAGGAACACCCGATATAGTCAAACAACATACATGTCAGGCACCACATGGAATGCACACAACATGGCCCTTAATTGGAACTACATGTGACACACACATACCAGGAAACACACCTAAGGTATATCCCAGGAGAGCGCCAAACGTGGTTTTTTTTCCTTCTTGGACAGTCAATCTTTAAATCAAGGTTTATCTATCCCATACTGCACACTTTAGGAAACTCCCAGTTTAAACTGATTATATATGCTTGCTGAGACAACAGCTATTCTACCATAAAAATTAAATTTAAATGATTCCAAATTCTTAAAAAAGCAAAATACAGAGAAAGTGCAAATAATCCTACTATGATTTTGAAGACAATGAGACTGACATATTCTCCATTTTCACACTAAGAAACAAAAGACACTAAAACAACAACAACAGCAACAAATCCTCCAACGATGCAGAAATATTGTGATGAATGTAAGCAGCAAGACCTTTTAGAAGCAAAAGATTGTTCTTATGTAATACCCACAGGTTCACTTTGCCCTCAGAAAGAGTGGTATTGAAAAAAATGCTGAAGTAAACCAAAAAAACCCAAACCCATAGATAAAATTATAAACACTTAAATTTAAATTATAAAGCTTTAAGTTCACATTTTCCAAAGCAGTTTCCCAAATTGGAGCTTCCTTGGGGTAGTCAAAGAATCTATCCATTAATTCATTCCTTTATTCATTCAATAATTGCTCCTTGGAACCTCAAGTATTTAAAAATAAAACAAAATGTAGGATGTGGTTTGGGGCATGCCTTGTGCTATTAAACGCTTAGCTAGTTTACCTTCTTTTTGAGGCTAAGTCCTCATATATCAGTAATACGTAACAACAACAGAAACAAAAATTGCAGTCATTTATTGACCAACTACTATGTGCTAAATCCTATGCAAAGTTCTTCATGGGAAGAGCCAAACCTCAGAAGGAGCTGGCTTCGATGAGGAGATGCCAAGGCCAGCATCCTCTCTTGGGTGCCTCTCTTTAAGATAAGGAGGGGCTCCCCCTGAAACCAGAGTCCTGCAGGCTTCTCTCTTTTCCCTAGACCACCACACGTTGCCCTCTAACCTGGAGACTGCTTAATGACCAGGAAGGGTTTTAAAGTGGGACACACTTAGTTTCAAATCCTATTTCTGCTTCCCACTAGCTGCGGGCTTTGGACATGTTACTCAGCCTTTCTGGGCCTCAGTTTCCTCAGCTGTAAAATGGGAATAGTCACCAGGGTCCACCTTACATTATTAATAGAATACCTAGTTCAGTGTCATGCCTGTAGAAGGCACTCAGTGAGTCCGAGAGTTCTTCCCTTCTTCTTCCTCTCCTCTGTCATGGGATGGTTGCTTGGGAACAGTTCAAGTTACCTGGTACAAAAAGTCTGTTTCTGGATGACTCATTTTTTTAGCTCTGAAACTGCCTGGGCCCTGCTCATCATGCCTCCAACCCTAATCAGCACAGAGTATTCAAGACTCCACATGATAAACTTCTCACACATGCATTGGTTGAATGGCAAATAGACCAATGTTACGTAGTTCTCTATGAGGCGTCCTGGATATAACATTCTGGATTTAAATAATTAGACTTTGGGGTAACAAAGTATATAGCTCTCTTTGCCCATCGTGTAACAATAGAAGTTCTTGAATTGGTTTTGATGTGTTTTTACTGTCTGTTCCGTGAGCTCTCACTTCCTCTTATGACTGTGACTTTTTGCAGTCCCCTCTTCTGATACGTGGCTTACAGAGGCACAAGTGTGTAAAGGTAGGGTCTGCATTGATGTATAAGTAAAGTAAGAATGTAAAGTGCAAGAAAGCTCACAAGCCAGGTAGAATCCTGTTTCATTTGTAAAATAGTATTCACGCCTACGGTCTCACAACTTTCCTCAACACAGGAATGCCAGGTACAGCCAGGCAGGCTGTGCACTACACAACCAGTGGTGCCCAAATAACACCCGAAATGGTCGTATGAACAGTGTGAGGCCTGGCCTCGGCCTCCCAAAACCCCTTGTGCACACACAGAGATACTTAAAAAAAGAAACCTTAGTTTTGTCCTGTGAAGTCACAGGAAGTTCCTGGAATCATCACGAAAGGTTTTGCTTACAGTTAAAACATGGTCTTCTTTCTTAATGTCTGACTTCTTAAGTTTCTTTCTTTTTAGAGCCTCTGTAACCATTTCTGAATAAGACACTTCAAATGACAGCTCCTCAGCCTCTGGTGGAATGTTCTTTTCTAGATAATCATCATCTAAAGACAAAACAAAGAATATAGACCATTTAATATGCCATTTAATCAATCAATACTATTTGCTATAAAATAAATTCAAAATATTTACAAGTGAATCCACAAGCACGTTATAGTGTTTATATGCAAGGAAAAGCAGCAGACTCACCCCGAGGAATTCAGTTAAACAATGATGTCGCATCACAGACCTCCACATGGACATACTTTTATCATCACTGCCCAAACAATTTAATCTGAGTGTTTTAAATTTTAGATTTGCATGTCTCATGAAAGTTGCTGAAGATTATTAAAAGAAAGTCCAAAATGGGGTATCTATATATATTCTTATGATATTAAACTTAAGCTCATCTAGACCCAGTGTCACTGTTATGGGTAAGCAGAAGCTTAAAGCAGAGGAAGAAAGGGTGGAATCTGCTAGAATTCCTCTCTACTTTGACTCCTCTTGTTTCTCTTCTCACCTGTGGAATATCTGCCTCCTAAGGTTTGTTCAAATTCCATTTGTATTTCATGGCTAAATCTGTTTAGGTGAATTAATCGGAATTTGTTATTTAATATTGGTTAACTGATCTTGTATGACATACATTGAGAAAAAGCTGAATGAGTGATAAGTAGTACCCCTTAAAAACGTTTTTCTCAAGCTAATTAGAAAATTAAGACAAAAGATTCATTGAGCAAAAACAAGTGAATCCATAAATCATTTGGGCAATCCTAACCTGATTTCTGATTCAGATTTCAGCTTGTCATCTGGTTTCACTGCCTGGCAAAACTGTTCACATGCAAAGTGAATAATTATTTTATTATAAAAAGAACTCATTCTCTTTTGCCCTCTGCTGTAGGCACTGACTAGGGGACTACCAAGTAAAACAAAAGGAACAAAAGGCAGAATTTAAAAAAACTTAGTTAATTTTACATTAAAATTAGGTGGAGAAATTTGTAAGTCAACAGATATAAAAATTCTGAATAGTTTTTTTCAGATGCTAATTAAAAACACAATAATAAATGAGCGCAGCGAGAACTTAGAAAACAGCAAAGGGACGCCAGGCACGCTGACTCACGCCTACAATCCCAGCACCTTGGGAGGCCGAGGTGGGCAGATCACCTGAGGTCAGGAATTTGAGAACAGCCTGGCCAACATGGAGAAACCCTGTTTCTACTAAAATTACAAAAATTAGCCAGGCATGGTGGTAGGCACCTGTAATTCCAGTTACTCGAGAGGCTGAGGCAGGAGAATCACTTGAACTCGGCAGGCAGAGGCTACAGTGGGCTGAGATTACACCACTGCACTCCAGCCGCCTGAGTGACAAGAGCGAAACTCTTGTTTCAAAAAAATAAAATAAAATAAAATAAAATAAAGAAAATGGCAAAGGGAGAGCTATGATGTTCTCTTGTTATACAGGGGCTTGCATTCAAAACAGAGGAAGATAAACAAATAGAACTCTAATAACTACCTACGCATCTATGAAGAGACTCTTTGGAGAGCAGCGATTAAGCAGGCCAATGCTCCAAACCACAGGACCACTCCACGCAGACGGCTAGCTTTTAGTGGCATGATTTCAACTAAGTCACAGTATGGCAACAAATAGAATGATGTAGAATACGAATGTCTGGCAAGTCCCTTCTTTTTTTATTTTTATTTTTTCTTATCAGCCTTATTGAGATACACTTCACATGCCATTCAATTCGCCCATTTAAAGTATACCTGCCAATGGTTTTTAGCATATTCACAGAGTGGTACGACCATCACCATGATCAATTTTAGAACATCCTCATCACCTCAACATCTTTGATTTTTGAAGCCAAAGCTGAAAAAAGTACAGGCTCCATTATTTACAAAAAGAATGCACATATTTTGGGAAAAACTAAGAAATCACAAAAGTATGGCCAAAAGGGGCCTATTTCCTACAAGGAGGATCTGAGATTCCATACGGAGCCCATCTAGGGAGCCCGCCTCTCAAGTGGAAGAGGTCCAGATAAAAGCATCCCCGGCAGCCCTGTCAGGGCAGGCTGCTCTGGTGCTGCGTATGCCTGAGCAGAAAGTAGAGATCCTCAGAAGAGGCCTACTTCCTGGCCTGCCTGAAACGGTGGAGCAGACCACATCACTCGGGAAAGAGCCTTTAAAGCAAAGACACTACCCACAGGAGGAGTTTCTACATGATGAGGTGGTCGTGAAGGAGGAAAAGATTCTGCCTCCAATCTGGCTTAGTTAATTTTGTCTTGTGTGACACAATGGGGTGTTCGGAGTTGGGTGGGAGGAGTGAGTGCTAGAAGTGACAGAATCACAACAGGGAGAAAAGCACACTTACACTTTGCTTTTAGAAATTCACTGCTAACTGTACTGAGTGCCAGGACAAAAGCGAGAAGACACAGCTGAAGTTCAATGGGAGGCACGCCACTCACCACTGACTGCGTTCTGCACTGGCTGTCCCGGCTCCGGTGATCCATTGGAATGAACTGGGAGATCTGGAATGGTCTCAAGTATAGCCTGCCAAGCAAAGGAAGATGAATACAAAACATTGTACCATAAATACCGTCCACCCCACATTTCAGCCTGACTTATGTTCTGCAGTATACAACAGTTATTTTCACAAAAAAAAGGCCATTCTTGGTTTCATGAAGGGGCTGCATCTGATTTCCTGTTTCTGCATTCAGTTTGGATGGTGAGCTTACACAGGTTTCACAAAAGGGAACAGTGTAAGGTCCATATAACTGTACTTTCCTAGCTCTTAAATATTTGCGGCTTATACCTTTGCTAAGACGTAGAAATTATGAGGCCTGATGTCACATAATTTGATATTGCTGCTTATACCTTCGCTAAGATGTAGAAATTATGATGCCTGATGTCACATAATTTGATAATTATAATATCATTTGTTAATGAATCTTCATGCATTTTTGTCTTACTTATATTAATTATATTATGTTAATATAACATTAACATATTAATTCCCTCGCAGCAAAATACAGAGTGATAGTAACTAACAAAATATTAGGTATCTTTTCTAATTCAATTTCCCCTCTTAATTAATTTTGTACTTTTTAAATTGAAATCCTGCCAGAGCACTGAACTCCTCTGCAGGATGATCACAAGTTGAGTATCTATCCTTGTAAAGGCCTGTGAAGCAAGCTACTGCCTATGTCTGGATGGGTATCAGTAAAAATTTACACACAAATCCTATCAAAACAATTTACATGTAAATCTTATAAATTTTAATATGGGAGTTATCTGTGAATATGTGATAGTGAAATCTGCTACTCCATCAAGAATATTTTATATGCTATTCACACATAAAATGTTTTCCCCTAGAGCCTGATTTTTTTTTATTCTTGTATTTATTTAGCAATAATTGAACACCTGCTTCATGAAAGGTCTTTTATCAGATACTACAAGTTGCACAAAGGAGTCTTGAATTCTGAGCCTCATGATCTCCTTTTATTCCTATTTTATTTCAAAAAAGTTGATACAATTATAATTGTGTAAATGGCATATGAATAGGTGCCCAATTATTGAAACACAGATGCCCAATTCCTATAATTGGTGGAAGAATGACAAACTGTAAAAAGGTCTAGGGTCATGCAGGTTCATTGTCTGGCAGATCTTTGGTGGCCCTACAAGTAACACCACGGAATAAAGATTACCCACACACTCAAATCCTTAAAGAGATGTGGACAACTTTTCTCTTTCCTTAAGTTTTCCAACAAAGAAATGCTTTGTCAGACTTTGAAATAACTTACCTATGGGCGAGAAGATTCTTTTGAAAATTGATAAGACTTTTTTATTTATTTAGGCCTTGAAACGGATGGTTTGGGATACTTAAACCTACTGAATGTCATTTTCTTAATTTTCTCTGACGGTTTAACTGGCCCCTAGCCAGTTAATTCTACTGAATGAGTGCCTGCTCTTTGTAATGTAAATCATTGTGGGACTTTCTTGAGGGAGGCAGAAATTTGAGTCATAATCCCTGCTCTTGAGCTACTTACAATGAGAAGAACAGAGTAACACTTACAAAGCATTAGGAAAAGACAATCAAGCCACTGTTAAGAACTAATTTCTGTAATCCCAGCTGCAAATGTTATTGGAGAGCGACTGAGAGGGAAGAGGTGCTGCCCAGAAGGTTTCCACTGATGAGGTGGTTGGACTTGAGCTGGAACTTAAGGAATAATGAAAAGGACTTCCAAAGGCAGAGGAGACAGGCAGAAGCATTCAGGCCAGACGGAGATGGAAGCAGAAACTTCAGGCATGGAAATATCTGAAGCATTTCAGCACCGGGGATCATGAAGAGACTGGGGTACCGGGAGTCGAGTCATGGTATTAGAAAAACACAAGAAATAAATTAATCAGAAGAGTCAGTGCAAATTCTGGAAGGTTTTGAAAGCCAGGTCAAGGAGTTGAGACTTAGAATCCTCAGGGTTAGAAACAAAACAGAGCAAGACAAAGACATGCGCATTCTTGTGTTACAGCGGGAGAATGATTCATGGTGGAGATGAAGGAACAGTGGCAGCCAGTAAATGGTACCTGAGTTGGGATGTAGATTGAGCAGGAAGGCTAGATGTTTGACATACATTATTTTAAAACATCCGTTCCTCATTAAGGATCATATTACAACTAGCATTGTTTTTTTATTTGTACTAGTGATTTTAATGTATTTTAAATATAAAGACCACCCCCATTTAAAGCAACCTTCCCAGCTTGTTCATAACTGAGCTCACTGTTTCCCTAATGTGCTCAACCACATGTGTTTCTCGCCAGGGCTTTCACTGCTAAGGAAAGTGACAGAATCACAATGGGTGCTTTCCCTCTGCTGAAAGTTGCTCTGCTGCCCTAGTTACACCAAGCTAGGATTGGAAAGTAGAGTATGAGGGGTTATTATGTTTAATTTTAAATTGTAGGAGCCTGGTACTATTTGCTATAGTTTTCTCTTATAACTAGACTTTGACTAACGTTATCTGGTATGTCCTCCATATTCAATAAAGATTATACAAAACATTTTCAATGCTCTGTTCACTACTTAAAATTTCATTGACTCAAAATATGTTTCTGGTATCTCTGACTGGCGGTTTGCTTTTTGCTCATGGTTTGAGTTTCTGTGCTATATGACACCATGTACTAAAGCCACCTGTGCTTGATTCAGTAAAGACAGTAAGGCTCCTCATCTTCTTGTTCTGCAACCAAGATCAGAATGGACAAATCCACAACTAGCAAACACTGTCAAATTCCCCAGAGACCAACTTAAGGAAGCCACATTCACTGACAAATATGCAATACATTTTAAACACTTGCAAAATCTATTCAACATGAATTTAAAGGTATTCTGATGATGTCTTGAATTAAAATATAATTCACATCTGAAATTATTACCTAAATATCAAGACAATGAGAATATTAAATACCAGACATCCATGAGAATAGCCAAAGTATTATTCAGAGATTCTTAACTTTAATGCAAATGACTAAAATTAAGTGAAATATCTTCATACTCTAAGAGATGAGAAAAATTACCCAAGTAGAGCCAAGACAGAATGTAAAAAAAAATAAGGTTTAAATAAATTACTGCAATAGGAAAAAATAGCCACAATTAAATAAAGTTAGTTATCTCTTTAAAAATATTGCTGCTGGAAAGATTAGGCATACATAGGAATGGTGAGATAGGGGAAATCGCTGTACTTTTCTACTCAATTTTGCTGTGAACCTAAACTGCTCTAAAAAATAAAGTTCTGCCTGGGCAATATAGCAAGACCTCATCTCTACCTAAAAAAAAAAAAAAAAAATTTAGCTGGGCATGGTGGTGCACACCTGTAATCCCAGTTACTGGGGAAGCGGAAGTAGGCAGACAGCTTGAACCCAGTTGTTCAAGGCTGCAGTGAGCCATGATCACGCCACTGCAGTCCAGCCTGGGTAATAGAGCAAGACTTTCTCTCAAAAATAAATAAATAAGAAACAATAACATTTATTAATTTAAAATATATTGCTGATATGGGCAACTATTTACAGTCTGATTAAGACATAACACACACATTTTAGAAACAAAAATGAATAATATTTACCATCACAGATAATTTTAAAATTATAATGTAAATAAACATACGTATATGTGTGTGTATACACACACACACAATAAATTTATAACATACCTTGAAATTCGAAATAAATTGTATATCTTGCTAAAGCAAATATACATTACCAAAATTCATACAAATTGGGATAGAAAATAATCTAACCCTTAAATTACATCCATTAAAAAATTAAACAGGCCCAGTGTGGTGGCTCACACCTGTAATTCCAGCACTTTGGGAGGCCAAGGCAGGTGGATAACGAGGTCAGGAGTTTGAGACCAGCCTGGCTAATGTGATGAAACCCAGTCTCTACTAAAAATACAAAAATTAGCCATGCATGGTGGCATGCGCCTGTAGTCCCAGCTACTTGGGAGGCCAAGGCAGGAGAATGGCTTGAATCTGGGAGGCAGAGGTTGCAGTGAGCCAAGATCGCACCACTGCACTCCAGACTGAGTGATAGAGCAAGACTCCATCTCAAAAAGATAAAATAAAATAAAATAAAAATAAACAAGCTGGGCGCAGCAGCTCACGCCTGTAATCCCAGCACTTTGGGAGGCCGAGGCGGGGGGATCACCTGAGGTCAGGAGTTCAAGACCAGTCTGACAAACATGGTGAAACCCTGTCTCTACTAAAAATACAAAAAAATTAGCCGGTCGTGGTGGCGGGCACCTGTAATCCCAGCTGCTCAGGAGGCTGAGGAAGGACAATCGCTTGAACCCAGGAGGCGGAGGTTGCAGTGTGCCGAGATCGCGCCATTGCACTCCAGCCTGGGTGACAAGAGCAAAACTCCATCAAAAAAAAAAAAAAAAAATTAAACAAAGCTTTATGCCTACAATGATACCAGGCTTTGGAGATTTCATAAACAAATTATTAAATATATCAGAAATATATATAAATTATAAATATGTGTAGATTTATATATGTTTATATCATAGTTCAGTAAATGACTCCAAGGTACTGAAAAGAACCCAGGGTTTTCAACATATTTGTACAAAGATTAGAATAACTCTGTAAACAAATTTTAATAAATTGTATGTATAGACTAATCCCATTTACTAGAACGGAGGTTAAAATACTAAAATAGTAGTGAATCAAATTCTACAGGCGCGACGGCTCACGCCTGTAATCCCAGCACTTTGGGAGGCCGAGGCGGACAGATCACGAGGTCAGGAGATCGAGACCATCCTGGCTAACATGGTGAAACCTCATCTCTACTAAAAATACAAAAAAAAATTAGCTGGGTGTGGTGGCAGGCGCCTGTAATCACAGCTACTCAGGAAGCTGAGGCAGAAGAATGGCGTGAACCTGGGAGACGGAGCTTGCAGTGAGCTGAGATTGTGCCACTGTACTCTAGCCTGGGTGACAGAGTGAGACTCCGTCTAAAAAAAAAAAAAAAAAAAAAAAAATAACATAACACAATAAATTGGGTTCATCTAAGAAATGAAATATAATTATAGTTCAATATAAGAAAAACCTATCAATGTAATTTCCTAAATTAATTGATTAAAGAAGGAAAACAATACATTCATCTTAACAGATATTGGAAAATCATTTGATATAATTCAAACTCCATTCCTGATTAAAATATTTATAAGGCTCAGAACCCTAGAATAAATACTCTCCTTAATGATGAAACATTAGAAGAATTCATAAGAAAAATCCAGAACTTATCAAATGATCCTCATAATTATTAATCAACGTTGTAAGTGATTGTGGTCAGTCCTCTAAGGGAAAAAAATGAGATGAGTAATTATTTTACATATTGAGTCAATAAAATTTTCAGTATATGCAGATGAGTTCTGAGAAAAGTCATAAAATTAAATGAAAAATTTTTAGCAGTAGAAAAGCTTCAGGAAGGAAGCTAAAGGAGACACTGTTACAAGAAACAAAACAACCTACTTTCCTTATATATCTGCAAAACAAGCTAGAAAATATCATTAAAAATCTTACGATTTAAATACCAGTGCAAACTAGCATGTGTGAAAATGTGTGTAAGACTTAAAGGAATAAATTATGAAACCTCACTGAAGGATAGAAGGCATAAATAAATGGAAAAACACAATTATTATTCCTCAATGGGAAGACTCAATGTTTTGAGATGTGAATTCTCTCTCCAACAATAATCTTTAAATTCAATGAAATTCTTAATAAAGTCACAACAAGATTTTTTACAGGGTAGTCCTAGCCTTTTTCTATGTTTATCTGGAAGAAAAAATTTCTAAGAAGGGCCAAAGGAAATTCTAATGCAGACTTTGATGAGGGGGAACCTACTCTAACAGATTTCAAAAACAAACCATAGAGACAGACATCTGCAAACCTGGCGGTTTTACTTCTCATAAAGTTGGCATTTCAAACGTGCAGAAAAGATGAAAGACTAGGGGAAAGATACGGGTTAGGTCATGGCTATCTTATGGAAAAGATAATTTAGGTTCCCTTCTTCATACCATTTTACAACGTAAATTCCAGTAGGGCAAGTTGCTGGGGCCCCCTGAAGTCTTGGGGATGACAGTAAATTGGCCCCAGGAATTTAGCCTGGCAGGAGAACTTTATCTTTACAGGTGTCACAGACAGGACCCCTGAAGCCCTGGCCCCTGCTTCATTTGATGACTGGATATCCCTCCTTCTGGAAGACTCGGAAACCCAACTGGGATCCCTGTGGTTCCTTATAACCAAGAAGCACAGGACCCTAAATGTAGTTACCAAAGCATTAACTCGGCATCTGTGAGCCACTCCAGCAAATAACCATTTTGTTTAACTTTTCTAAAAGATACTCTGAGTAACAAATAATCCAAGGTAAGTTGAAGGCCAGTGCCAGTGAGGTATTTTTTAGACCCAATACTGCTGAAACTTTTATTTATATCATTACTGGCATTCAATCTACCTTCAGAAAAAAACAAAATGAAAATAAAAACAAAATCTGGGTGATTAACTTATCTGGACAGCTCTATAACTGCCACAAAAGACCGTTTTCTTTCTCTTATACCCTCAAACTGGCAAGAAGCCTATTTGTAGACCATATGCGCTCAATAAGAATTTGCTGAGTGAATGACTGAATGAACCAATGATGCGAAGAAGTTCGCAGCTAAGAATAAAGAAATAGAAAAATATGACCAACAGTCTTATCAGAAATAAAATTGTGGCCATGGAGCGGCCATGAAAGCACCTAGAAAGGAAGGCATGCCTACCATCCTCTTCTTTGGCAACTCAATCACACAATCGTCCTCCTTCAAGTTCTGCTGGTGCGTGCGTGGAACCACATGCAGTCCTGTGCTGCTGCTTGTACGAAATGCTGGGGGTGTTAAAGCCAACTACAGAGGCCGACAAGGGGTCCGACCATGTCAGGAGCTCCCCCGTTAACTAGAAAGTGTTGGAGAACCACCGCAGGCTGTAAGCAAGACTTGTATTTTAGATCAATGACTTGAGGCTCTGGGAAGGATGGATTTGAAGAGAATAAAGCTAAAGTCTGGAGATCACTCAGGAGGCTGCTTCAGCAGTACGGAGGATAACGATGAGTTTCTGTACTAAGAGGCTGTATACGACAGGAGGGGAGCAGAAAGATTTTACAACCATTTACATGATGAAATTCACAGGTCTCAGAGATGGGCATGAAGAGGGGAGGAGGTAGGCAGAGTTGAGGCTGCCACGCAGGGGTGCCTGTTGGGCACATGGGTGCCACAAGTTGCGATGGAAGATAAAGGATCTTGGGCAAGTCCTCAGAGCACGAGTCCCCAGTCACAAGGGAACAGCACAACTGTGTAAGATCTACCGCAGGTCACTCCTTATTCCAACAGTTACCAGACTTTGTGAATGACTGACTTTGTTTTCATTAATAAATGGGGTGAATTTGAGGTGATGTCTAAAATACAGACACTCTCACTCATTTGCATCCCAACGCTGGGTCTTGAATGGGAAAGAGCTGATTTACAGCCAGTGGGTCAGATATTGTGGGCATCCCTCAGCCTATTTATGCCATAACCTACAGAGTTATTAGTAAAAGATAAAAGTCACTCACATTATTTTATTCCTCTTACATGATCACTGTGCAACAAAACAAAACAATAGCATAAACAAAAATCTAAAAACACAACAACAAAGCAAATCTATATGGGGCTAACAGCATTATCTCCCTAAACAACAGGGATTTCCTAGGAATGTGTCATGCATGTAAATGTCGTCAGCTCCTTGTTTCTCGAAATGGACAGGGGTTGAGAAACAACTGCCCCAGCAGAACCTTTGAACGTGCCACCTCCATCTGAGTGCCTATTGTGCTAACCGCTGCCTTCCATCAACCTGCCACTGGAAAACCACTGCCTCGTCTAATGGGGTCTCTGTCTTCTGTGGAGGGTCTATAATATCCTCCCTGCAGAGCACCTGCTCAGAGACACTGACTGGGGATTCGCAGTGGGGGTGACGGGAGGGGGAATGACAAACATTTTTGACGAAACAAAAGTACAAGTTCTGCTATTTAAGACCAAGTGAATGAATTCATCTGAAGGCAAAGAGTTTGCATGAGTGAGTCCTGAGAATTAAGGCTGGAAATGTAGGCATAGTGGAGAGTCTTCAATATCAACATGAAAGTTTTGAATTTATCCTGTGGGTAAAAGGAACTTCTGGGTTAAGATGGCAGTTAAGCCACATCATCAAACCTCTGGGATTTTTCTAAGTGAACTCAGCCGAGAAGACCAAAGTTAACAAATTTCTCCAAATTGAGAGAGAGAGATATATATATCCTTTGAATTCTCACTGCAGTGATATATTAATTCATGGAGTCCTCTTTCATTTTGAGCCTCTTTCTTCCTAATTTTTACAAAGTCAGTAATTCTACCAGCAGCTGTGGTTTCCTTGCGATCTCAGTTCAAGTATTTTTTAAATGTTTTCAAGAATTGCTTCTTCTTACCTTCCTACATTAGTTGCATTGACTTGCAACTGTACCTTGACATGTAACCGTGCTGACATGGATGACTTACCACAGAGTCACTCCTGGGAACTGCAAAACTCCCTTCTTTATCCTGGGACGCGTCAGACAGGGTAGTACTGTTGAGAGAAGCATCATCTGGCTAAAAGGAGAAATAAAAGTACCATTCTTATTCAGGCAAATACTTTCTAATGTGTTTGTGTATTCTCTTCTGTGTTCATACTGAGATATGTGTGGCAATATATGCAATCATGACTGCCTGTGCATAGACAATTGCATCCAACTGCTAGTGCAGCATTACTATGAGCCACCTAGGTGCCTAGCCCTCTAAGGACACTGGCCTCTGTGGCAGACACTGATGTGCCTGCCACAAACTCTATTTGCCTTAACAATATCTTGGTTTTGTTCCAGGGAATTGGGGTGAATCAAAAAACCTGATTTCCAGTCTCATTTGCAGTTAAGAGGGGTCACGTGGCCAACAAGGTGTAAGTGAAACTTTACCAAGTGTATTTACTAAGAAAAAAAACAGGTTCAGCTGATACATGCTCATGATAGGACCACAGATGACAGCCTGGAGCTGCCAAGCATCTTGTACAAATGAGGAAAACAGGCACCGAGAAGAAGTCAGGGACAGAAAAGCAAGCCTGGCTGTGTCCATGCAGCTGGCCTATCAGACATGGGCCACCCATCTGAAGGGTCTCCATGTGAAGCAAAATAACTCCAACTTTTTGATTACATGTATCCAAACACAAACTTAACTGGACTAATCTCATAATCTTTTTTAGCAGATTCTATGACTGTTTTTTGTAGTGAATAGAATTTAGTAGCCATAGTATCAAGGTTTTTTTTTTGTTTGTTTTTTGTTTTTTAATAAAGCTAGAACTAAGAGATTTTTGTTGTAGTGTAGTATGGTGCCACTGAAATTAAGATGTGATATTATTTTCTTCAGCAACAAAACTCACTGCAAAATTTAATGCATTTGATTAAATGGCATTCTTCATTTTGCTTGACTATTTTCTCAATTTTCTAGAGACATTATACATTACTTTACAAAATGAACAAAGATCTTTTTTTTCTTTTTTAAAGAAACAAGTAAGAAACAAGAGCTAGTACAAGAAATTTAAGTTGGCTGGGCATGGTGGCTCACGCCTGTAATCCCAGCACTTTGGGAGGCTGAGGCAGGAGGATCATCTGAGGTCAGGAGTTTGAGACCAGCCTGGAAAACATGGTGAAACCCCATCTCTACTAAAAATACAAAAATGAGCCGGGCGTGGTGGTGCATGCCTGTTGGGAAGCTGAGGCAGGAGAATTGCTTGAACCTGGGAGGCAGAGGTTGCAGTGAGCCAAGATTGTGCCATTGTGCTCCAGAATGGGCGACAAGAACAAAACTCTGTCTCAAAAAAAAAAAAAAGAAATTTAAGTCAATATGGTGAAACTGACAAACTACCTCCCCTGCCACCCAAATAACTACAAATGGCAGAAAAACATATATTTTTTAAAAGAAAAGGTTTTGAATAGCACTGGAAACCAGCCAAGAATTCCACAGCAGGCCAAATGAGAAATATGTAGGTGTAAAGTAAATGAGATTGGTTAGGTAAGTTAAAAATCTCTTCCTAAGAGCAACATAAGATAAAATGTCTAGGAAGGGAAGAGAAAAACAAATAATGTAGAATGAACAAAGAGTAAGAAACGGCCGCAGACAAATAATTAAGACATGTTTAGAAAAATAGGAGCCAGGCTGACCTGTCTTGCCATAAATATGTAGACAGCAACTAAATATAACCCAAGGAAAAAACACCAAAAAGATGCGATCTAAATTAAATGAAACTGTTGCCTTGGGGATGGATGAATTCCTAGCTTGAGTATAGAAGTCTAAGGGAGAAGGAACTCAGGATGCCACAAAAAAAGACACGGAGGGGAGAGCAAGAAATGAAATCAGCTTTTATCTCCCTCATTAGTTTGGTTTTGCATCTGGGGAGCCTGCGTACTAACCGGCCTATCCCCTTTACACACGTTAAAGTTAAGCCCCCCTCACTCACACAAACACACAATCAACAATTTTGGCCTTTCTGGAAAATAGATCTACTCAACTGCAAAGGAAACATACAACAATTTCCTATACAAATCAATCAGAAAAATCAATAAAGTCCAGCTCTATGCCTCTGCAGAAAACTTTAGAGGCCCAGTGAGCTGTAATTCCTTCTACCTGCAATGTGCCGACAGCTTCTGCCTTGAGAATACCTTTCACACACTGTGTCCTTACGTGAAGGCGTAGGGTGAATCCTATCACCCCCCTGCTGTAAAAGATTCTGATAGACAGGGCTGGGAGAGGGGCTGGGGAGGAGGACAAGATGAAACACCTTGGATTGATAGTTGTGGCTGGAAGCTCTCCCTCCACTGGAGGCACAACCTAAAACCTGAAAACACTCGTTGCCACCCAGCGGGAGGCACGCAGGTCCCTGACCACATGGTATTCACATCACTGTGCACTCACAGATTGCCACACATTCCAAAAGCTAATGCGTTCTCTACACGCGATGTTTACATTTCCAAAATAACTTGGAAAAAACTAAACGTTTATATCTATATTGATACTGGAAAAATATTTATACAGGAGTCTGTTATTTTTTCTGTGTGAACCCATGAAGACCTAGCTTTCGTTGACAACATCCTCCACACAGGATATGCAATAGAAAATGATTTTCTGTTGTTGTTTCTGCCTGTAGATCTTTTGTAATGATAGAATTTAGTTATTTTAGATTTACCTATTAAATTATTCTTTACTAAGTTTAACAGCTATGGGTGATGGAGAGATGCGGCTGTGTTTGCTGACAATCTGAATTATGTAGCATCTTTACCTAAGGGAAATGAGAATTTATATCCTTTATTCTACATTTGTATTCATAAATGTTCTGGGCAGAATTATTTGTAATAACTCCAAACTGTAAACAATCCAAATGTCCATCATCAGGTGAACATCAATAGTGGTGTATTTATACAATGGAATATTATTTAGTAACGGACTAAATTCCTAAAACATGCAACAAATGGATGAATATCAAAATTATTATAAATTAAAGAAGCCAGACATAAAAGAACATACTATAATGAGACTTATATGAAACGAGAAACCAAGCTAAGGTGTTAGAAATCACAGCTGGGCTTGCTTCTCCAGGACAGGGGGCCTGCTGACTGACAGGGCCCAGGAAAAATTTCTGGGTAATGGAGATGTTCTATATTTTGATTAACTGTAATTACATGGGTGATAACATTTGTGAAAATTAACTGAAGCTGGGTGTGGTGGTGTACACCTGTAGTCCCAGCTACTTGAGAGGCTGAGGAGGGAGGACCATTGGAGCCCAGGAGTTTGAGGCTGCAGTGAGCTATGATTGTGCCAGTGCTCTCCAGGCTGGACAACAGAGACCCTGTCTCTAAAAAACAAAAAACAAAAACACAACTGAAATTACTGAATTATACATCTAAAATGTATGCACTTATAGTTTGTAAGTTATACTTCAATTTAAGAAAACATAAAAATTATTTGATTTTCTAAAAATAATGTAATTCTTACCTTCTGAGAAACTTAAAAGGGCCATTGCTGCTTTGAACTGAGATGATATTGCTATAATAATGGGTATATTAGAGATTAAAAATTGCTTTGGGACATAATTTGTTTGCCAAACATAAAAAGAGTGAGACAAGCTAAATAAAAATACAATAATGACCAAAAAAAAATTTTCAAATCTGGAGCATGAAGTTGAAGAAAACTAGAAAACAGAGCAAAGAGAGTAATATGAGCTAATTTCACAGAATCCTCAGGGTGTCGCTTTTCTAGCCGGAAGCCTCTGTGACGGGTGCTGCCTTTGTCCGAGTTTTGCTCGGGCCCACTGGATTCATTCCACCCATTTGGCCCAGCAGGCTGCACTTGGCTTGTGCTACTGGCCCAGATCCCATGCCTACCAAGGGCAAGCTAGGTGCAGAGTGGCAAGTAGTATGTGAGCAAGCACAGGGTCCAGCCACAGCATAGAGCCAGGCACGTCGGCTGCAGCAGGGCAGGCAGCTCCAGGTGCCAGTACAGGCACTGGCTCTGTACAAGGCTATGGCTGGACCAGGTGTACCACAGATGACTTCCACTGTGGGCACCAGGGAATGCGGTGGTGCCTAGAAGCTTGGAGATCCGAGGAAATGCAGAGCCCCAAAGAGGGTGTCACAGCCCTGGCTCAGAGAGCCCCTAGGTCTGGGCTCCCTAAAGGGCCACAGCTCTTCTCTCCTAGTTTGCCCACAATGTGGCAAGTGGGAAGCATGTTTCAGACCTGTTTGTGTTACAGCTCTTTCAGTCTCACCATTTGGTGGGTCCCAAGTTCTAGTCCCAGGTCCAGGAAAAATGAGGTACACGGACAACGGGAGGGTAAGCAAGACAGAGAGGAGCTTCACTGAGTGACAGAACAGCTCTCAGGAGACCCCCAGTGGGTAGCTCCTTTCTGCAGACAGGTCATCCTGAAGAGACCTGAAATAGGTAGCCCTTGTAGTCCCTGACATCTGTGTGACTGGCTGAGTCCAGGGGTTTTTATGGGCTCAGAAGGGAGGAAGTGCATGCTGACTGGTCCATGGGTGGCCATGGGTGGGCTTGGAAAAAGCACTACCCAATTGGCTGAATGGTCATCAATGAAGTCCTCAGTCAGGTCAGCAGACTTCACTCAGAGCTGGCAGCCCATCCTCCTGGCTTCAGGCTGTTCCTGGCTTGAAGGTGGGTTTTCACCAGGTACCTGACCCTTTCTGCCCAGCAACCTGTTTGCCTCCCACCATCAACATGCCATCCACAGTGCCTAGGCTGTTCTTGCTGAGGGGTACCTGCAGAGCTGTGCTGAGCTGCCCTCAGCACCCACCTTGGCCTCCCTCCCATGCTGGTTGGTGCCCAAAGTTCAGAAGAGGGCCAAGGCAGCAGGGGGCTGGAGTGTAAGCACTGACCTGAGCATGTGCACACCCTGTGGGGTTGCGACAGCACCCAGGCTGTGCCACAACTTTGCTCCACACTGGAGTGGGCGAAAGGAGCGGGGAGTGGCCAGGGAGCATGAGCAGGCACTTCCAAGCCTGTGGGAGGAGGGGTTTCCCAGGCCACCAAGAGTACAGAGATGCCCGGGTCCAGTGCTGCAGGTGGATGACTGCGGCTGTGCCTGGGAGCACAGGGCTCCCACTCTGCCAACTCAGTAGGGGGCAGGGCTCCCACCTGCTCCTGGCTCCTGCTGGCCCCACAGAAGGCACAACCCTGGCTGCACCTCCCTTGCTATAGCTAGTGTCTTCGCAGAGGCAGCTCCAGAGGGGCCTGCCTTCAATAAAATTTAGGAGCTATTCAAATTCAATTGAAGCAAAGCATCCAATATGTGCTCTTCAAAGATGGGAGTGGGGAGAAAAATAATCTAAGACATAATAGAAGAAAATATCCAGCAATTGAAGAAAGAAAATTACTCTTAGACAGAAAAGACCCACTATGTGCTGACCAGGATGAAAAAGATAAAAAGAAGATCTTTGTGAAAGTTCAGAATTCCAGCAATAAGTTCAAAATAAATTCAAAATTTATAAAATTTAAAAAGCTGCAGAGAGAACAAACACAAAAACCTAGAGAAGTTTATTTATAAAGGAATGAGATCCAGGCAACTAAAATAAGAATAGAAAAAACTTACGGTCACATTAAGGGTGTAACAGTTTGTCAAAAAAAAAAAAAAAAAAAAAAGAGACAGAGAGAAATTCTACTGTACAAGTTTTCCAGGAGAGTGAAGGTTTCCTTTTAAAAATGGACAGTCAGTTGTCACATGTTCCTAATATAACCCCTCCCTGAGACCAGTCTGGTTCGACTTTCATGTAACTAAGTGGTGAGTTGTTTTTTAGTTGCCATTGTAAACCCAAAATACCTGAGACAGGTCTCAGTCAATTTAGAAAGTTTATTTTGTCAAGGTTAAGGATGTGCCCATGACACTGTCTCAGGGTGTCCTGACAACATGTGCCCACAGTGGTCAGAGTACAGCTTGCTTTTATACATTTTAGGGAGACATAATACATCAATCAGTACATGTAAGATTCACATTGGTTTGATCTGGAAACGTGGAACAACTTGAAGCAGGGGCTTCCAGGTCATGGGTAGATTTAAAAGTTTTCTGAATGGGCTGGGCGCAGTGGCTCATGCCTGTAATCCCAGGACTTTGGGAGGCTGAGGAGGGTGGATCACCTGAGGTCAGGAGTTTGAGCCCAGACTGAGCAACATGGTGAAACCCTGTCTCTTCTAAAAATACAAAAAAAATTAGCTGGGTATGGTGGTGCATGCCTGTAATCCCAGCTACTTGGGAGGCTGAGGCGGGACAATCACTTGAACCCGGGAGGCGGAGGTTGCAGTTAGCCAAGATCGTGCCATTGCACTCCAGCCTGGCCAGCAAGAGTGAAACTCTGTCTCAAAAAAGAAAGAAAAATTGATTGGCAATTGGTTATTAGTAGAAAGGAATGTCTGAGTTATGATAGGGTTTGTGGAGACCTAGGTTCTATCATGCAGATGAAGCCTCCAAGTAGCAGGCTTTAGAGAGAATAGACAGTAAATGTTTATCAGACTTCAGGTCTGTGTTGATGCTAACGCTAGAGGGTATAATGAGGCATGTCCAACCCCCTCTTCCACTGTGGCCTGAATGAGATTTTCAGATAACTCTGCAATACCCTGGCAAAGAGAAGGGGTCCATTCAGATAGTTGGAGGCCTTAGAATTTTATTTTTGATTTACACCATGGACCCCCAGGTTGAAGGTCACGCAACATGAGCATAACCAGATGAACCAAGCATGCAACCATGGGTGGAACCTAAGTGCTCAGAATGAGGAACAGGGACTGAAGTAAGCAGACACCATATGGCAGGATCTAGGATCCAATCAGATTGAGCCCTGGCATCACCCCATGGCAGGATTCAGTCAGAGCAGGCCTCCTGGCATCACCTTATTGCAAGATCCAATCAGATCACCCCTCATTACCCTCTAACTATAAAACTTGCTCCAACCCCCAGCTCAGTGAGACAGATTTGAGCATTTCCTCCTATCTCCTTGCCATTTGAGTTGGAAAAAACCTTTCTTGCTGCAAAACTTGGTGCTTCAGTGTTCTTTCCATTTTGCATGGGCAAACTGACCCAGTTTGGTTTGGGACACTAACGGGTATCAACAAGGTATCAGAGCCTCCTAAGCATCCTGTAAGTATAAGGATTAAGTCCACGTGCTAAGGCGGCCACACGAAAGGAAAAAGTTGTTAGTCCGTGCTAAGGCTACTACTACATTGTTTTGCAGTTGTACAAGCCTTGGTTAATTCGCCATTAATTTCTTAGTTTTGTGATTTAAAATAAACCCTTCTACTTGCTTAAAATTAAGTTCCTTAGATTTGCTTTTATATGAAGCAAACAGATATAACTGATTTTTAACAAATGGTCTGATTGTATTTGACAGTAAATTATGAATCAATAGCAAGTACAGCTATTTGGTTATCATTTAAGACACTGGAAACAAACTAAAAGGATTGTTTTACATTTTCAATAAACTAACACCTTGACAGATTATTTCATTTATGTTGACTGTACATAAGGAAGGTGTCTTCTTTTATCTATATAGAAATTGATTTGTAAGGTAGGTTTCTGACTACTGGAGATTGGATTGTAAACATTTTGTAAGTGCTTGGGTTTAGCAGCATGTGTGATTAGAGTCAAGGGTCATTCATACGTAATACACGAACAGACTGTTTAGTGTAAGCAGCTTACTGAAAAATAAATATGTTGTCTATTAATGAGATTATAAGATATTCAATGGACTTTTAAAATCAGGATTATTGAGATATATCATATATGCAATTAACTGTACATAAAGTATATATAACATACAATTTGATGAGTTTTGACAGTTATATAGACCTATGAAACCATCACCACAGTCAAGATAATGAACAAAACAAGCACCCCCCAAAATGGACTCATGCCTCCTTTGAATCTCTAGTTCTCTCCCCTCCTCACCCTCCCTCCTGTCCCCAGGAGCCAATCAATGATCATCTTTCCCCCATTATAGGTTAGTACATTTTCTATCATTTTGCGTGAATCAAATATTTTTGGGTCTGGCTTCTTTCACACAGTATAATTATTCTGAGATCCACCTGTGTTGTGCATATCAATAGTTTGTTGCTTTTTATTGCTGAGTAATATTCCATTTTGTGGACATACCACAATTTTTTTATCCATTTACCTGCAAATGGCCATCTGGATATTTTCAGTTTGGGGCTATTACAAATAAAGCTGCTATAAACATTGTGGATAAGTGTTTGTGTGTATACATATTACTTATGAGTAGAACGGTTGGGTCTTATAGTAGGTATATCCTTAATATTTTAAGATACTGCCAAGTGGATAAAACATTTTACATTCCTAACAACAACATATGAAAGTTCTAATTGCTCTGAATCTTTGGCACTGCTTGGTATTGTCAGTCTTTTTAAGTTTAGCCATTCCATAGGGTATCTAGAAATATTTTATTGTGGCTTTCTTCGCATTTTCATAATCATTAATAACGCTCAGCACCTTTTCACGAGCTTACCTACTCAACTTGAGCTCATTTACCACTGAGTATTTTCCTTAAAAATTATCTAAGGTAGATAAGTATGTTGAAATCTGTGGTTGTCCAGCCATCTTAATTATATTGCACTTTTTTCAAGTTTTGCTCAACCGTCTTGAAGAAATGGCTTATTTCATGCCTACCACCATCCCCCCCAACTATAACTTACCATGGAACCACTTGCCTTGATAACTCTTGGAAGCTCTCTTTCTTCCTTGGTGCCATCCAGCTGATTAGTGTGGTTGTCACAGGTATCACGAGGCTAACAGAGGAAATCAAAGCCACGTTTATCTAGGCATATCTTTCCAAATATGATTGCGTATTCACTATGCATTACTCTAGAGTTTTTATATATAGGTACAGCTGCCTGGAGATATATACAATTAATGACTACCTGGGCATTGATAACAGCACTTACCAATTCATTCATAATTATATTGATCCTCATAAATGCCATGTACTGTAACAGAATTGGTCTCAGAAGCAGACTCTGCTAGCTTCCTGCCAAAACCCACTTTCTTTTCTTTCCTAACTTATGAATATCATGATTTTGCTCCAAGATGCTATGTTCTAACTAAAAAGACTGAGTGTGATCATCTGATGGTTATATCCAGTAAGATATGAATGTAATTCTACTTGGTGGAGTGTCCAGGAAAGCTAATATTTTCTTGTGAAAGTGGATGAAGTCAGCTTCTTTCCGAAGCGTTGACATGGTGCCTGTGATGTCCAGACATCCTGTAAGTATTAACAATTGGCCCATACACTAAGGGGGGCAGAATGGAAAGAAGAAAAAATTGATAGATCCATGCCAGGGCAGCCATACCAGCCTTGGCCTTCCTCCTTAAGCTTCTTGTTTTGTAAGAAAACCTCTAATTGTCTAAGTCTGATCTAACTGACAAAACCATGCTATTTTAAAGTGAGACTTTATGATTGTATTTTGCAATGGTTTGTAAACCAATATCAAGAGAAAATCCAACATCACGAAAAAGAAGTACAGTGATAAACATTCTACGAAAAGCAGATAATTGAGGAAAGAGAAGAACATTTATAATTTTTTTTTAGAGAGATTTGAGAGGCAGTTGCAACAAGAAGTCAGGAACTAAGTATAACAATAAAGGGGAAATCAGTGGAAAAAGAGGCATTCTTGTGAATTAACAGTATGATTGTTGAATTATAAATGCAACAAGGGCCAAGTTATAATTACTCATGGCAAATATTAAAATTAAGTCTCTACAAGAATAATGCAGACAAAATCTACTAGCAGACAAACAGAAAAAAAGATATGGAAAATAACTGACAATTTAAGATATGTGAGTTTAATCCAAGCAGTGAAAGGAAGAACAGAAAAAGTGGAGAGAAAGAAATAATTACAGAAATAATGGGAAGAGAACGTTCAGAATTGAAAGGAAAGGAAGTTATCAGAAACAAAAAGCTGAGTGCTGATGATGATGAGAAAAAGAAAGATTTCATATCCTACTGATATTCAGTTCTCCAACAATAAAAATACACCTACAAGGCTTCCAGAAATATAAAAATGAAAGCAGGATATAAATAAAGGAATAAGTTTTAGGAGGCATCAGACTTCTCAACAATAACACAGTATGAAAAAGCAGATGGGCCAATAGCTATACATTACTGTAGGAAACCGATTTAGGGCCTAGCATCTTGATACTCACCAATTTAGGATTCAAGTTTTTTGGATTATAAAAATTTAGTATCCAGAGACATTTCTTGCCAGATTTGCTCAAAGAGTAAAAGGCACAATCTGCTAAGAAGATGTAACATTCTGTAATACATGTGATTATGTAAGTTGGTATTTTTACTGTTCTACGTAGTCATTTCATTATATTCTCCTTCATCATCCTTCTTCAGGACAGGACAGTGCCTGCCACCTCATTCCATAAACTGCCCAGCAGCTCACGGGTATGGCTGGAATAACTTCAGCGTTCTCTTCCATCTCAGTGAGAAGTTTATTCATGTGTTTGGCACCATGCTTACCCCGGCTAACATTTTTTTTTTTTGAGAGAAGGTCACCCAGTCTGAAGTGTAATAGTGAGATCATAGCTCACTGCAACCTTGAACACCTGGGCTCAAGGAATCCTCACGCCTCAGCCTCCCAAATAGCTAGAACTACAGGAACATGCCATTGCATCTGGCTAATTTTTAAATTTTTTTTTTTTTTTTCTAGAGACAGGGTCTTGCTTTTTTGCCCAGGTTGGTCTCAAACTCCTGGGCTCAAGACAGCTTCCTGCCTTGGCCTCCCAAAGTGCTAGGATTACAGGCGTAAACCGCCACACCTGGCCCTGATTAACCTTTAAAAGGTGGTATGACCTTCAATGATTTGAAATGAAAGGCACAGTGAAAGCCACGTGAGAGAACATTTTGCTCATGAGGAGACTGGGAAGGAGAAGGAACAGAGGAGGCTTGCTGCAATTATGCTTCTGTCTGCATGTCCTGAGGATGCCTGAGATCCCTCTGGTACTTTGATTATTCACTCTTTCACATGGAGCTCAAGAGAGAACTGCTTTACTTACCCCAAAGTGACAGCCAATGGGTTGGCATAGCTTAGTTGGGTTGGGGTGGGTGGCAGCCAAGGGGAGAAAAACGCAGGGTGGGTTAATGTTCGCCTTTGGCCGACGTAAAATCATTTGGTAAACATTCCATTCAAAGGCCAACTGTTATCTTACCTGATAACTGTGAATAACCATGTCTCACCTTCTAACCATCGCCATTGCTTTTGTATGCATTTTAAATTCACTTTTAAGCTAATATATAAAAATCCTGTGCGCAGGGGCCATGTCTCCTTATTTTACTGCTGTTGTCTAGAGTGCTAGGCACTTAGTGAGTGTTTGCTAAATACCTACAATTGTTTCCTGGTGATTACCCTATAAACCTGACTCTGATCATCACTTTTTAAGGGAAGAAGAGAAAGTAAAGGCAAATGAAAGAAATTTTACCCCTCATACACCTAGAAATATATTATATTGAGAGATCTGCAAAAAAGAGTACCATAGCAGGTCTGACACACACTTGAGTTTCAGGAGGTTCCCACTCTTTCCTCAATGTTAAGACTGGCTCATGGATCCTAAACTGTTTGTGCAAACAATATGGCTTATACTGAACACCGGCTTTCCTTCTGGGAGTCTGGAATTTTGTGGCGTACTACGTAGAGGGTGCCTATGTGATCAACCCGATAAAAACCTGGGGCTCCTTGGCTTTACTGAACCTTCCTAGTAGAAACAGTTTGCTGCTGGAGGAATTAATCCTGTCCTACGTTACCCCCCTGAGAGAGGACTCTTGGAAGCTCGTGCAGATTCCCTGCACTTCGCTCCATGCACCTTTCTCTTTGCAGATTTTGCTCTGTATCCGTTTGCAGTAACAATTCCAGCCATGGGTAGGACTGTTTGCTGCGTCCTGTGAGTCCTTCTAAACCACTGAACCTGGGCATGGTCTTGGGAACCCCTCACCCAGGAGGAAACCAGAATATATATTTCTGATATTTAAACTAATATATTTTACAATTCCATATATAAGTGTTTGAAGATTAGCACTTGTCTAACCTACACACACACACACACACACACACACACACACACACACACACACCCCCCCATCTCATCCTTTTGTGATTATCTACATTGTTATCTTCTGTTTCATATGGTTAGATTTGAAAAAGGTAAGAAGTACATTTTTCAAACCTTATCGGCCTCTGCTTGCCTCATGCAATGTCTGCAGTCCAGTTTAAAAATCTACTCAAAAAGGATGCAACATACCATTGTAAACCAGAAGTCCCCCTCTAATATACTGAGAGAGAAGACGTTCTGTGAAAATTCACCATATTTTTCCTCTAGTTTGGAAGAAGGTAAAAGATGGAATATAAGAATAAAAAGATACAAGATTAAATACATAAAATAAATCCAGAATAATGAGAATCCCTAGTCAGGGGTGGGGGTGTGCGTGTGGTGTGAGATCGAAATTAAGGCTCGATATGATGAGCTGCCTGGAAATCTGGTGAGATCAGATGGCATAATAGCAAGTTCTCCCCACTGCGCTCCCGCAGAGAAGCTCCCCCAGTCAAACAACCCTCCTTATCCAGAGGACAGTTGTTGTGTATCTCTGAGTAGTATTTCAGTTCCCTGCCAGCCCATGGAATTACTCAAAACCCCAATCGCTTTCTCCTGTGGGAGCCAGGGAACAGCCTACCCTCCTAATGCTACAAAGCCTGCAGACCCTGCTTGCTCACCCTGTTCCCAGGAGCAGCCTACATGTGGCCCTGTGTGGCATGCAGTGTCCCCCTCTCCCAAGCTGTGAGGATACGTGACTAATAAACTGCTGTCGATTACACATGACCAGTGTCGGGTGCTGTGTGTTCAGCCACTCTCATAATCCAAGGGTGGAGAGCTTTCCCTCACCACCAGGGCAAAGAGAAGACAACCAAAACAGAAGGTAGAGCCAGGTGGGACACAAAGCTCACAGAAACCCATTTTTTAGAAAGGCTTCAGTGTCTGCTCTGACTTGCCCTCCTCTGGCTGAGGGGTGAGACACTGGATGCAGCAAGGGGAATGGGGACAGCAGAGAGGGGCAAACGCCTCAGGCCAAGTGTCCTGGTGGGGAGGAAGGAAAAATACAATAAAATTAGAAAAAGGATTAAATTAGAAAAGAAAATAGAGACAAAATCTGCAAAACAGGATTGCTCACAGTGCCTGCTGACTATACTCCACATCCGGACCTCGATCTACCCTCAGGCAACAGAAGAGTGGCCAGAACACAAACTAGCCACATTCAAACCACTCAGCAGACTCTTAGGAGAGACAAAGAACCTACTTCCAGATAGAGTGCCCCACATGAAATCTCTATCACATAAAAAGAAACTGTACAGAAACAAAACATCATCATCATCATCATCATCATCATCATCGCCATCTTCATCCGATCAAGGGTGGGAATAGGAATTATTCTTGGAACAGCAAAGAATCCTTCTCCTCTAACAGGAAGGAAAAAAACTAAAGCTAAAGAGAAGGAAACATACTGAAGTCTAACAGAGGAAAGTCTCTGACTGTAAATGAGAAATCTGCCACCACAAATCCAGGTGGAGGCAGATGTCAGCAAACCCCGGTCCTTCTATGGCTCCTATTCACGATGCACCATTTCAAACGGTGGACCCAAGCTTCATGACACGTGGTATAGATCACGCATGGGATTCATCTCATAGAATTAAAGCCTTCTACTGAGACAGATTCATTGGCAGTCATGAACTCAGATTAGCATTCTTTGAAACTCTGCACTAAAACGGACCAGATGGGCTCTGATGAAAGGTGTTCACTTCCTGTGCTAGATAGTGTACTTTTTCCCACTTACCACTATACATTTAAAATGACATAGTGCAGCTTCCCATGATATTTACATTTAGAGTGGTACATATACACCATGGAATACTATGCAGCCGTAAAAAGGAATGAGATCGTGTCCTTTGCAGGGACATGGATGGAGCTGGAAGCTGTTA